CTATCCTATCAATATGGGCCAACATTTCTAAAGAATGCTTTCAGCACCTTGTTGAATCAATGCCACGTAGAATTAAGGCAGTTCTGAAGGCGAAAGGGGGTCAAACACAGTATTAGTATGGTGTTCCTAATAATCCTTTAGGTGAGTGTATATATTTACAGTGGGGAGAACAAGTATTTGATACACTGCCGATTTAGCAGGTTTTCCCACTTACAAAGCATGTAGAAGTCTGTCATTTTTATCATAGTACTCTTCATCTGTGAGTGACGGAATCTAAAACATTGACATGAAAATCACATTGTATGATTTTTAAGTAATTAATTTGCATTTTATTGCATGAAATAAGTATTTGATACATCAGAAAAGCAGACCTTAATATTTGGTACAGAAACCTTTGTTTGCAATTACAGAGATCATACGTTTCCTGTAGTTCTTGACCAGGTTTGCACACACTGCAGCAGGGATTTTGGCCCACTCCTCCATACAGACCTTCTCCAGATCCTTCAGGTTTCAGGGCTGTCGCTGGGCAATATGGACTTTCAGCTCCCTCCAAAGATTTTCTATTGGGTTCAGGTCTTGAACTTCTTCCATTTTCTATTGATTGCGCCAACTGTTGTTGCCTTCTCACCAAGCTCCTTGCCTATTGTCCTGTAGCCCATCCCAGCCTTGTGCAGGTCTACAATTTTATCTGATGTCCTTACACAGCTCTCTGGTGTTGGCCATTGTGGAGAGGTTGGAGTCTGTTTGATTGAGTGTGTGGACAGGTGTCTTTTATACAGGAAACGGGTTCAAACAGGTGCAGTTAATACAGGTAATGAGTGGAGAACAGGAGAGCTTCTTAAAGAGTAACTAACAGGTCTGTGAGAGCCAAAATTCTTACTGGTTGGTAGGTGATCAAATACTTGTCATGCAATAAAATGCAAATGATTTACTTAAAAATCATACAATGTGATTTTAATGTCAATGTTTTAGATTCCGTCACTCACAGTTGAAGAGTACCTATGATAAAAATGACAGACTTCTACATGCTTTGTAAGTGGGAAAACCTGCAGAATCGGCAGTGTATCAAATACTTGTTCTCCCCACTGTATGTATACCGTGTTATATCCATTTGAATTCTTTTCAATGGGACGGCTTACTTAAATCTGCTCTTAAAACATCAATTCTGGTTTTGATAGGATGATTTTTGTTTTCCTCAGGATAATCTGCCCATGGAAGAGCCTGCAGAGAAAGTAGACACAACAGATGATACTGAGGTAAAACACTCTCATATCCTCTGAATGAGATTAAAATGTCTACAAGTGCATACTAGAGTACAGCTCACTTGAGTTGAAATGAAAACACAAACCTGGTATTTAAAGGCAGCGTCAGGACCACAGACTCTCTGCTCTGCAGCAGCTGTGTCAACAACACCAACCAACTTTCACACACTAATGGAAAGAATATTTGCCCAGACACACACCAACACACTCTCCCCCCTGTCATTTTTTGACTTCCTCCTTCACTTACACTGATGTATGTGTGTGAGGGTGCTGTGGACGTAGAAGGAAAGGTAAGCATGGGTTGTCTATGAACATACTGCAGCATTAATCTGTGTGTGACTGCGGTTCAGCTAGCATACCTTAGCAGGGTGGTGCTACTGTTCAACACTGTTTTTAGCAGTCTAAGTATCACATATTATAGCTAGTGGATAATTCATAGTTTCATCCCAAGACCCAACATGCATTTTATCTAGTGATTCCCAACACTGTACTTGCCCCTGATGGGATATCTAGGCTGGTTCCATGGGGTACATGGAAGGAATTTGATTGTGCTTGTGAACAGAAATGAACAGCCAAATAATATGGCTGTCGGTACATTCAAGTAACAAACTGTATATAATGCTATAATTTTTTTTTTTTTGCCATACTTTTCAAAAGTTTGGGTTCGCCGTTATTTTAACGTTTTATTTTAAAGAAATTACAGTAAAAATAATGTTACAAAATCCTGAGAAGAATTCTGAATAATAATAATAAATGTTTCATTGTTTCCACAACAATATTAAGCAGCACAGCCATTTTAATAAGAATAAATGTTTTTGAATTATTTATGAAGGATTGTGTGATTTCTGGAGTAAGGATGCTGATACTGAAATTACATTTTAATTTATATTAAAAATAGTAAACAGTTATTTTAAATTAAATGAATATTTTACAGTATTACTTTAACTTTATTCTTAATCAAATAAATGCAGCCTTGCTGTGTATTAGAGACCTCTTTCAAAAACATTTGAAAAAATCGTAAAGGCCCCAAACCTTTGAGTGGTAGTGAATACACACAGGAACGCATAGTCCAATAAAAAAAGTGGACTATGTTTTGAGTTTTCTCCAAATTTTGAGCACATTTCTGGCCTGGTGTCAGTCCATCCCCCCCTTTTCACGTCGTTTCGCGCATGTCTCTGTAGGTTGTTGCGTCAGATCCCAGCAGTGGTGATAGTGTGACGGCCCTCAGTTCTGTGGGTTTGAATCCTGACCTGCTTCCTGAGAGCTTCAACACAGAAGGTGAGAATCTCCTTTTTCTGAAAGTGTAGTTTGAAATATGGATAAATACTGTTTAGTCGTTTTAGATGTGATTCATCAGACCCTATGAAAATCCAGGCCCCATGTTTTTCCAGTTTATTAATGAACTGTTTTTTTCTCTTGTGATGCATCTTTCAATGTCTATTATGCTTGATGAACTGATTATGATCCTCCTCCCTCAGCAGTGGAATGTAACGCAGCGCATCAGTAACATGTGTGAGCTCATTTCCCATCGATTTAACAGCAAACGGATTGATCTCAGTAAAAAAATTCTCTTCCTCCCATAGAAGCAGAGCATTTCCAACAGAAGCTGGATGAGACGACGGTGTTGCTGAGGGAGCTGCAGAAGGTTCAGAAAGAGAGACTGAGTGCCAAACAGCCGCCAAACATCATCTGCCTACTGGTTCCTACTGCTAAAGAGCTGCAGCTTGGTACGCACAAACACAATATGACCTTTGACGACTGGTTCACTGCTCAGATAATACTAGACAAACACTAACATTTTTCCGGTCTCATGTGTTTTTAGTTTTTCCTTACTCAAGGAGTTTTAGTGAGTCAGTGTTGTTGCACATTAACAGACCTGTGGGTTTCAGCAGCTGTTTAAAAGCAGATATACTTTTCACAGTTTTGATAACTTCTAACCCCCACCATTCTTATTGCAGCGGAGAAAGTTACTGGTAACCTGGCCCATTTGACCAGTCAGGTGACCCCTGGTGACGTGTGCAGTGTTTATGGTATCAGAAAGGCCATGGGTGTCTCGCTACCCAACGATACCGCACAGGACACATTCACACACCTGACCACAGGTAACGTAAACACAGCACAAACAAGAAATATCCAGCAAGTTAGACTTCGTATTTTTACGTGTTTTGTTTGTGAAATGACTCTTGTTTGCTTTATCTACTCAAAAACTTGCATTAACAGGAAAATGCGGGTAAATGTGTTTTCTGTTTCAGTGGGAGATATAATTGAACCCATGGAGGGAGTGTGTTGAGATCCTCCATCACTTCGGTCTATCAGTCTGCTTATTCCAGATCATCCCGCAATGGTGCTGTTTCTGATTTACTTTTGTTTCATTAAATAAACATCCTTTTTTAAGCATTTTGTGTATTTCCATTCTTAAGTTGCACAAATTGAACATTAGCAAGTGACTTGATACAGAAATAAATTGCTCGTTTTAGTTCACCAAAAAATGTTCATCATTTACTAAGACCTTTGTTCATCTTCAGAATACAAATGAAGATATTTTTGTCCATCCATTTGAAAGTCTGCGCATCAGAAAGATATTGTGAAAGTAATCAAAATGAATCAAGCTGTGTACTCCAAATTTTCTGAAGAGCAGATTTAATTTATTCACATATTAAAGGGATAGTTGACCTAAAAATGAAAATTCTGTAATCTACTCACCCTCATGTCAGTCCAAACCTGTATGGAGTTTCTTTCTTCTGTTGAACACAAAAGAAGGTATTGGGTAACCAAACAGTTGATGGACCCCATTGATTTCCATAGTTACTCCATAGTTACTTTTATTCCATAAAAATACTATGGAAGTCAATGGGGTCCATCAATTGTTTGGTTACCCATAATACCTCCTTTTGTGTTCAACAGAAGGAAAAATTAATGTAAGTCTTGTGCGTTTGGAACAACATGAGAAAATGATGACAATGTCAGCGGATAGCATTTGTAAATGTCTGAATAAAATATTAAACGGTTTTAAAAATTCTAGCTATAACCTGAGAGTGGTTCATAGCGGTAGTTGTGCTCTCTGCTAGATCACAAATCCTATCATGCTTTGGGAGAATTAAGAGTAATCCTTAAAGGAAATGAGACCAAGGCCTATGAATGTTATTACTTGTGTTGCCACTGTTGCTTTGATCTGAAGCCAAAGTAAAGTTTTTTTTTTTTACATAGAATCATGGGTAATTCTAATCAGCCGTCATATTTGGCAATGCCAGATATAACTTCAAAGACAGAATATTGCTTTTATTTGCAAATGTTTGTCAGAGTTCATCCATTGGGAAAGAATGTTGGTTCATGTTTCTTAATGCTCTCTTGAGATTTGCTACTCTGGTAAGGCAACACATCATTTATCTGTTATAAATGAATCTGCTATTAGAACTATACAGTCTCACTCTGCAGAATGGAGCCCCATGTCCTGTGTGACCTATGACCTACAGGTAAAGGAGTTTTCTCTCACCAATTTGGCAAAATGATACACAGGAAGCATATTAAGTGTAAAATGATTTATTCTCACAAACACTGGTACAGAAAGGCAGCACATAATCTCAAACCATGTAAATTCAGTCACACTGTAACACTCCATGAGTGCTGAAAACCCAGAGAGGCGCATAGGAATTGCAATCTAAATTGAATGTTTATGCCTATGGCTTCATTAGACACATACTTCCCACTTTCAATAAGCATTCTTATGGAACAGAAACAGACCTTTTGAGCAAATCAATTTACTGCGATGTGAGCTGAGATGCATGAGTACATCCATTCGTGAATATACAACTTCAGATGAGAGAAGCCACAGAGCTATTTGGTCAAGATCTGAGAAAGACAATGGGACATCGATGAAAGTACACTTTCACTTTAAGATCTTTAATTTTCATTCATTTACATGTATTCCCCTGGTATATGTAAACATTCCTTAATAGTTGAATCTTTAGGATATTATGAAGCTAAGGAAGGCCCATCTCCAAAATCCACAATCTCAACTCAAAGGCAACAGCAAATCAACACTGAATGTCAAAATTTGGCATTCAAAACACTTGGCAGTTTTTTTGAAACAAAACACAAAAAAGCATCCACAGCATTTAGATTCAAGCAAGAATAGGCATCCACTATTTTGTTGCTCCAAAAGTTGATAATAAAGGACACATTATTTCAAATGACTGAAGAAATTCTAGATATTTTCACATCTGTTCATCTGTTATAATGAGTTTGTGTGGGTCAGGTGTTCCCTCTGTCGACAAGCTCAGTCATCCCAAATCAGTCTAAATCCAACAGGATCAAGGCCACTATGACAGCAGTACCCAGAAAGTCTGAGAGCAATACTGAGAACTAATATTTTCCTTCAGCGAACTCAAGTTACCCACTGTCTGTGGTCTGTGTCCCATAAGAGGATTGCACAGTTCAGCTTGTGTTCATGTGAGATGTGTGTATGTATACGTTGCTGCATATCTGAGAGTTTCAGGTCTCCAAATGCTGCCAAAACAAACTAACATTTCAAATTCAGAAAAAAATGTGCAGTTCTTTAGACATGCTCTAAAGAAACAAATCCAGTAGCAATAAAACATTCTTGAAAAAAACCCCAAAGAGATCACATATAGGTCCGGAGTCTGTGTGTGCGTGTGTGTGTGTGTGTGAAGCTGTCAGTCTCAGCTCAGACCGATGCCCTGTTGTTTGCTGGAATCTGTGCACACAAAGAAGGTTTTGAGCTCTCCTTTGCCCTTCACATTGATCAGGCCACGACACTCACATAAGTAGCCCAGCTTCTGTAGGACATCTGACGTCTCCTCTGTCACCTGCAACACAAACAGATGTCATAGAAAAACTGATCTTCTTTTCATGTTTTAATGAGGGCAAATCACTAAGCTATTTGGAAAATCTAGACATGAGAAGAGAATTATCATCATAGCGGATCTAGAGACGTGAAGTACCGTAAGAGTGATTCAATTCCTACCTGTATTTTTCCCAGCTCTCCAGTGCTTTCCATCCGACTGGCCACATTCACAGTGTTTCCCCAGATATCATACTGTGGTTTCCTGGCTCCAATCACCCCAGCAATCACTGGGCCATGGTTTATACCTGCACAAACAAACGCAGATCAATGAAAAAAAACTCTCGAAACATGACATCTGCATTTGAATTCACTCTAAACCAGCAGTCATTTACTATGACTGTACTAATGGTGCATGATTTTGGGGTTTGGGGGGAATCTAAATGTGATTTAAAATGCGAGAAAAAAGAAAAAAAGAAAAGAAAAAGTTACAAAATTTGTCCAGAGTTTGAGAGTATACAACGATATGATTATAAAATAATAATAATTATAATTATTATTAATGTGATCACTATTATTACTAAATCAAAATATCAAACAAAATAAGAAATAGTATTATTGTAACATTTCACTGAAAAATAAAAGAAAGAAAAATATGATATAAGCTGTGCAATAATAATAGTACAACGGTTAAATTACAATAATAATATTTAAGGATGTCTTAATTTCTTCATTACAATTTCTTCATTTCTTCCGGCGGCTGGTGGCGGGTTGACTAGCTTTCGTTAGGCACACTCGCAAGGTCTCTCGCTCTCTCTCTGTCACAAGGCTAGTCTGTGTTCTGTCTGGTTTCATGTTGTCACAGTCAAGTTTGTGTTTCTGTCTTGTTTCATGTTTAGCAGCTCCCCGTTATGTTTATTAGTCTGTCACAGGTGTTTCCTATTAGCCACACCCTCTTGTTATCTTGTTAGCTCGTTTACCCTTGTATTTAAGCCTGTATGTCTAGTTTAGTCTTTGTGGGTCCTTAATGTTGTATGCTGGTTGTTCTGTTCCCTAGTACTGTTTCCTGAGTCTGTATAGTTTGAGTTTGGGTAATAAAGAAATGCTGCAAATGGATCCTACTTCCTCGTCTGCTTCAACCTCTCGTGACAGAAGGACCCACCTCACCATGGATCCAGCAGATTGTCGCTTTCACCTCCGCCAGGATAAACGCCTGATGGAGGATTATGTAAGAGAATTTTTGGAGTTTTGCCATGGAGTGAACTTTAAGGACACGGACTTAAAGGACATGTTTGGCCGGGGACTTAATACATTTCTGTATTTCCTCATGCCTCACGATACCCCACATTACACTCTGGCACAATATATTGGGTTCGCCCTTTTATTGAGTGGTTCGCCATTTACGGTGGGCTTTGCAAGTGAGGAACCCCACAAGCTCACATTATTCCCTGAGGCCGCTGTGGAGGAAGCTGTCCCTGAGGCCGCTGTGGAGGAAGCTGTCCCTGAGGCCGCTGTGGAGGAAGCTGTCCCTGAGGCCGCTGTGGAGGAAGCTGTCCCTGAGGCCGCTGCGGAGGCCGCTGCGGAGGAAGCTGTCCCTGAGCACGCCACGGTGGGCGCTCCCGAGTTGGTCCAGAAGCACGTCAGGGCCATCGAACCTGAGACTGTACACATCGTGCCTGCCGAGCCTGAGTCTCTTCACGTCGTGCCTGCCGAGCTTGAGTCTCTTCACGTCGTGCCTGCCGAGCCTGAGTCTCTTCACGTCGTGCCTGCACTTCACGTCAGTCCTGCACTTCACGTCAGTCCTGCCGAGCCTGCACTTCACGTCAGTCCTGCACTTCACGTCAGTCCTGCCGAGCCTGCACTTCACGTCAGTCCTGCACTTCACGTCAGTCCTGCCGAGCCTGCACTTCATGTCAGTCCTGCCGACCCTGCGCTGGAGCCAGGGCTGCCCAGGAGGGTGAACTCGAGTCCTGAGCACGCTGTGGAGGGCGCTCCCGAGGCTGTTCCTGAACTGTCTGGTCCGCCCTGGTCGCATATACGGCATGCTCCACCCTGGCCGCCCTGGCCGCCTGCACAGTTTGCTCCATTGATCTGGCCCTCCCACCTCTCCCAAGAACGCCTCCGTTTCACCACCACCCTGGACTATCTTCTGAAGAGCGTCTGGGATCCGCTCTTTAAGGGGGAGGTTATGTCACAAGGCTAGTCTGTGTTCTGTCTGGTTTCATGTTGTCACAGTCAAGTTTGTGTTTCTGTCTTGTTTCATGTTTAGCAGCTCCCCGTTATGTTTATTAGTCTGTCACAGGTGTTTCCTATTAGCCACACCCTCTTGTTATCTTGTTAGCTTGTTTACCCTTGTATTTAAGCCTGTATGTCTAGTTTAGTCTTTGTGGGTCCTTAATGTTGTATGCTGGTTGTTCTGTTCCCTAGTACTGTTTCCTGAGTCTGTATAGTTTGAGTTTGGGTAATAAAGAAATGCTGCAAATGGATCCTACTTCCTCGTCTGCTTCAACCTCTCGTGACACTCTCTCTCTGCCGTGCTCGCGCTATGTATGTTATGCGCGCAGTATGTTCTGTCTCGCATGCGCGCTCTAGATTCCGGCAGATCTGAACTAATTTGCGGGCATCAGGGAGACGCAGGAGACTCCCGGGAGACTTGGGATGTCTGCAATGGCCACAGACAATTTGAGGAAGTGGTGGGGGAAGTGATGTATGCCGTAAAGCAGTCGAATTTTGTAGTTCTTTTTGTGCACGGGTTCCTACCCGAAACCCGAAGTTACATAGTGCCAGTAAAAACGATACAGACCACGTCAGGCTATGGCAGACGTGTCATTTAACTTATTTTAAGTCGATGTACCATCACAAGGGTCTTGGAAATATATTATGAAGGTTGAAAAACTACATAGTGTTACTTTAAGGCTGTGTGTCCACCAAAGCGTTTTTAGCCAGCTGAAAACGCCTAGATGTGGGCGCTTGAGAGCGCTTTGGCAGCGCAGCGTTTTTTCAGTTGAGACGTTTCGTTGCTATGATACAGAATATCCACAGCACAGTTTACTTGTAACTGATTTCGCAGATAATTTGTTTCATACTAAAAAGTTATTTTTCATCCATTTTGTTCGGTTAGCTCTGCTGGTTGATGTCGTTGTACAGAAAGAATGTTGTAACCATAGACAGTAAAAGAAATGGACACAGCGACCCCATAGATTTCAACGGAGAAAGTTGAAGCCCATTAGAAGCACTCACTGAGCTTGACGACGTAGATGTGACGTGAGCAACCGTTCTGACCTTCTAGTAGCTGTGCCAAGACAAATCTGAATTGAAATCTGAAACAAATCTGTTGAAATATTTTGTGCCGTTGCTTTTATGAACTCTCTATCTATGGGCTTCTCCCTTGACTTTATGCCTCCATGTCCCCCCGATTGCCTCATAGACAGTAAAAGATTGCCTGCGCGAGCTTCTCCTTCTGTCTATACGGTCATTTCTCTTCTGTGCGACAGAGAATCGCATGGTTATGATGCAATCGTTAGCCTATTTTTACAAAACCGGCTTCTACGGGGCCATAACGTAAGATACAACGTAATGGAGCCTTTTATCCACTGTCCTGTTTCTTAAGAAATAAATAATGGACAAATGGAGTCTTTGGACGCCTCAGATGTAAAGTTATTCGCTGTCAAAGTGACGCCAAAATGAATGGGAGTCAATGGAATGCTAACAGCAGGTGATGGTCTGCTACAATGGCGGCCCCGAAGGGAAGCTTCAGTTTCCGGCTGATGGATTACCCCCTTGGTTGTGACAGTTGGTCGGTGTGGTATTTGTCCGGCCCCTCCTCCACTGTGATTGGACGGCTGGGTAAAAAGTGACAGTTGATGAGCGCTGCGTTTTACCCAAAGTTGAACATTCTTCAACTCTCGTCGACCTGTAAAAAACGCCGAGTGCTCAGCGCCTCGTTACGGATCATGACGTTGTAAGAAACGCGGCGGTCCCATTGAAAAAATACACAAGGCGCGTGAAAAAAACGCTTTGGTGGAGACACGGCCTTACTGTGATCCAAGCCACTCTGAGATGCTGAAAACACTGGATAAAGCTGCTTGCGTGTAAAAGAACACAGTGTCTAGCTTCACTCTAAAACACGCAGTGCATCTATTTATTTAATTAAATCATAGCCTTTGTGTAGCCCTGGACTGTTGTTGCTTAGTGACAGTAAAACTGTATTTGAACCATAATATAATTTGACTCACAGACTACTTGATTGCACTTGAAGCATAAAAACAGATCCAGTGATACAGTGAGTTATCCTAAAGTGACAGCTGGAATGTTGTTTTCCTTTTTATAATAAAGTCTTTTAGAAGGGATTTGTGTCTGTTGTTATAGTTTGATCAGATCTCAGCCACAGATGGGTGATATGTTCTCTCATAGTCTTAAATGGAGCGTTTATGAAGAATTTCATGCCAGTTCCCTGAGCGCATCTGTTATCCCTGAGCTGCTGAAGATGCCTGAGTTCTCTCTTATGAGCTGCCTTTGTTTTTCAATGAGATTTTCAGCTACATCCTGTATATTGGTTTCATTTTTAACCCTTAATTCAAAAGTCAGAGCTGTAAAGGCTAAAATGAAATATCTCTTGAAATACCTGGAGATAAAGTGTCCTCCAAGCAATAACTGAGTAATTAACAGTGATGTAGAATTGAGGGTTTTGTAGCCAGACTTACCGACACGAAGCCTGAATGTGTTGAAGGAGTGTCTGTTGATGCCATCCAGCTTGCCGATAAGAGCGATTGCGAACTCCACCATGTTTCCTATCTGTGCATTCTGCCTTTCACGGTCCTGAAAGCACACACAACAGAGCTCAGAGATACATGAATGATGTAGCTTGAAGGACACTTTTATTAATGCAGGGTGAGCAGGGGTCAGAGAATAAAATGACTCGCATAGCCAAAAAAGTAAAAAAATGTGCAGCCTCCAATTTTTATCACCTTATTCATCAAGTGCACCTCAGTCACAAATGCTGGAGAGTCTTGAAAAGACTCTTTTCATTTTCCATAACAATGTAGTCAAGGTGAATTGAAATCTTAAAGCACATACTGTATGTATTATTCAAATTCATAAAATACTTTCAGCATGTTAACTTTCAACTATGTTCACTTCACATGCAAATCTCACGTAGTCAGTGGTTCTCAAAGTGCGGTGCGCGGGAGATCAGCAGAAGAAGAACTGCTGAACAGCGTTCAAGTGCACGAAAAGTGGTTGGTGCTCTGCCTTTATAAAGTGGTACTGAACGCCAATTTCACTGAATCTTTCTTCTTCAGAACCAGACCGTTGACTTGGCATGTTCTGAACAAACGCAACATATAAGTTCCTCGCCATAAAAAAGCTGTGCCAGTGGACGGCATCACTGCTATTGGGAACGCACCACTACGCTACCATGTTCCAGCGAGAAGATGCAAGAAGCTGGTCCAGATAAGTAGAAAGAAATAACCACGAAGCACACATCCAAGTTAGCCTGGGAAAACCCAGACAACTTCCGGCAAATTTAGATTTGCTCTGAAAGTTAGTCTGGCAAAGAGCTCATTCAAGCTCATTTCCAATCCGTCGAAATCGAGGCACCAATCAGAAACGTTGGGGCGGGCTTTACACGATGACGACAGCGCTGGGATTTTGAAGCAGATTTTGTAGCCTACATTACAAAGATGGATGCCGCCGTCGAACATCACTCGTTCGAATCAGCTATCGCGTCTGTTTTAAGCGATTTGAACGTTTCCTTTTAGTTAAAAACCGAGCAAAGAACAACATACCGCTCTGCATACTCATCTCCTTCATTGCTCTGATTGGTTTTAGGTATATCCGCGACGTCCGTTGGTGACGCCCCTCTGGAAATGATTTGTCTATGACGCTTTGCCAGACCATAACTCAGTTACAACTGAGAATGGTCTGGTTTTAACCAGGCTACATCCAAGTGGCACTCAAAAAAGAAAGAAAACAAAAGAGAATAAATCCAATACAGAAAGTTTGCCAAAGCTTTAAAAAAAATTCGACGAAAAATCCAAATGAAACATCGGATGAATTGGAAGACCCAGCTCGCACCATCAGCTAAGGTTGGGAATCGAATTCCGATTCTGGAGTCAGATACTTAAAGGGGTCATATAATGGTACATGCACTTTTTTAAGTTGATTGTACTGAAATGTGTGTTGGCAGTGCCTGTACACAACCATCATATAATGATAAAAATCCATCCAGTGGTTTTGTTTTAATCTCCTTATATGTTTTCCCCTGCCTCAAATCGAGCCGTTCGACCGTGTGACGTCACACGGTCGGACGCCCCTCCCGCGATTGTTGATTGATAGGCGCGTTTCAACACAGACCCGCCCTCGCTCGTGAGAGCTGTCAATCATAGTCTGCGCGGACCGGCGCGCTCATTGTTGATATGCTGGAGCACTGTCTATGAGCAGAATGGCGTCTAAGCGATTGTGGTGTTCTGTTCTTGGGTTTAATAACGAACACAGCAGTCATTTTAATGTTCCTAAATCTGAACCGCTGAAGACGCAGTGGTTGAGTTTGTTTTCGAAGGGAATATTCCCCACGAGCAACGTCAATGCTCTCGTGTTTGCGCGAATCATTTCTCACCAGACTGCTTTATAAACGAGGATCAGTATAAAGCTGGTTTTGCTAAGCAGCTGCTCCTGAATAAAGAATCGGTACCAGATATTCGTGTTCCTGCTGAACCTCTAGAACAACTGAAGTGAGTGTAACGTTTTATTAAACTTTATATTAATATTTATATCTTTGCAAATCGCTTCACGATGAATGAGTCTAAGGTTTACACTCAGGGTACATTACTGCATGTTTTCTATGTACGACGTTCTCCATATAATTCATAATCCCACGTTTATAATGAACAACACGTTATGGTATTGTGTTACAAACGTGTACGCACAGAACAGAGAGGCGGAGTCAGCAAAGCTCATGATCATTTAAAGTCATATGCACTGAAACGGCGTGCTGAAAACAGAGCTGTTTTTGACCAGGTAAAATAAGTGTTTTCTTACAATACTAATGAGAATTTTTAATTAAAGTATATTACAAACTTTTAATTTAGACCCTAAAGAATCATATTAGCTTGTACAAAAATGGCATTATATGACCCCTTTAAGGTCAGGAATCGGATGCTTGTTGTAAAACGTAAATTTCTATTCCACTTATCAATTCCTGTGAGCACATTTTATTGTGATTTTAAATTATTTAAGCACAAGAAGATGCACTCGCCTCTCATATAGTCAAGTCAAGTCACCTTCATTTATATAGCGCTTTTAACAATATAGATTGTTTCAAAGCAGCTTTACAGTGATAATAGGAAATTAAAGTAACAGAGATTGTTTAGGCTTTACAGCAGCTCTAGAATACAGTTATTGTCCAGCTAAAGATTCACTTCCGTTGCAAAGATCATTAGTTATTAACTTAGGGGCCGCTAACACGACACCGTTCTAACAGAAAACCCTTAACGCGCTCCGGCCACCCATGCGCACAAAACAGTGCCTGGTGGCTCGAGAACGCAAACCTTGAAATAGGTTCCAAGGTGCAAGCCTTGAAAAATGTTGAAAAAAAGGTTATCTCTGTGCAAACCTGTGAAAACGCTGACGGCGTGCACATGCGTATATGCGCGTTTGAACCTATATGTGTGCAGACGTGTAGTCCTTAACAAATTTACCTCAACAAATTACTTGTCTGGCCTTAAAAATGTGTAATACAGAATTATTTATTGCTTCCACGTAGCCAAGTGAACTGGAATTATTTTGACAGCATAGTGCGCAATTATGAATTCAATTGAGTTCTCTTTCACATTTTTTTGCTCTTGAACAGACAAATACACACAAATGATGTCAAAATATCCTAGGAAAGTCACTGATCAGTTGTATTCATTTTGGTGCTATTGCTAATTTTTTTATTTGTTCTTATTTTATTACTGACCATTTAATTTGTCTTTAATAATGTTTAAAATATATATTAGTAATTCTAGTTGTTTTTACTGCAGTATTTTTGTTAAAACCATAGCAAAAGTTCCTCATGTAAGTGTTCTTTAGCCTGCTGATTTATGTTCATGGTATTCAGCTGTAACAAAATGTTTTGCAAAAGTATATATATATATATCTGTCTTTCCTTATTGGATTCTCCATATAAGAATCGGAATTGCTCAAATTCAAACAATACCCAACCCTAACGGCAGTGGTGATTATAAGGTGTGTATGCAACGTGTAACGTGTCTGCTTCTTTTGTAAGCTCTTTGAAAGGGGAAGCATATTTTCATTGGTACACTCAACGCTGTATTATGCATGCCAGATGAGTAATTGTGTATGCCTGTACGCATGTGTATGCCGTCACAGTTTTCACAGATTCACGTTTTTGAAGTTTTCACGGAGATGATAATGGTTTCACTTTCAAATCTCGCTCTCAAAAACGTGCACTTTGAAACCTACTTCAAAGTTCGCGTTCTCAGGCCAATGAACAGCTAGAACACATTAAAAGTTTTCTGTAAACGGCACCTAAGTAAATAACTAATGATTTTTACAAAGGAAATGAATCAATTAAAAACTTACTTAAGGTCCTTGCACACCGAGTCCGAAATTCGCGTACGAAATTTTCACACGTTAAAAAATAAATACGACCTCACATTATGTCAATCACGCTTACACACTGCCTCCGAAACTTTCGTCCGTCATAAAAAAATTCGGATCGGGTTCGATTTTCTGCGTTTTTCGCATCTGTGACAAGCATTTTGAATGGTGTTTTGACAATTCAGAGCCACCGAATGACGAATACGAAAAAACATTGAATAAAGTCGTAGTTTTTGTTATTTTTGGACCAAAATGTATTTACGATGCTTCAAAACATTCTAACTAACCCACTGATGTCACATGGACTACTTTGATGATGTCTTTATTTCCTTTCTGGACAAGGACATACATTTTCAATGGAGGGACAGAAAGCTCTTGGACTAAATCTAAAATATCTTAAACTGTGTTCCGCAGATGAACGGAGGTCTTACGGGCTTGGGTCGACATGAGGGTGAGTCATTAATGACATAATTTTCATTTTTGGGTGAACTAACCCTTTAAGTCATGCAGTGGCGTAGACTTATGATGCCATAACAAAACCGTCCATTTTGTGTTAAATTGTGGTAGATGTTTCTATCAAGCTTTTGAAATTCACTGTCATTAAAGATTTTTCCTCCTGAATGAACGTTTGAGATTTAAATATGCTGCAAACGACCTGTTGCTATGCACCAGTCATAACAGCAATCCTGATGTTGCATGTTCATTAATATAGAAATTCAACTAATTGAACCTTTTATTACTATTAATGAATCGTAATAATTCACCAGTTAACTGTAATTTAAAAATTAGTTTAACACCCTGTCTACATTCCAAACAAGAGCCGTGTAAAACACTAATTTCAAGTCGCAATATCACAAAAGTAGAGACAGATCTTTTATTCCATATTGTGATCTACACACTACCCTTGCAACAAAAATTTCACATTTGGGTGAAACGGGTTATCGGAAAGAAAAAATGCAGGACGTGGACTTGTTTCTATCCATTAGTTGTTGAGAACAGACTAAATGAAGTTCCAAATGTAGGTTTGGGAGCTTGAGCTGAGCTTCGGAATCGAGCCCCCTTTATGGACAGACTTCAAATTACATTTAATGTGTGGCTTAATCAGAGTTATCTAAATTGAATTCACAATGTTTTGCAATTCATTTTCATAAAATTGATTTTTTAGTAATCCTAAAGCAAAGCCTCAGGATATGCCAATGCCACCATTACTGATTGGTGCATAGTGACATATGGCACATTTAAAATGCCTGCATTCCATTTAGAAGCAAATATGTGAGATAAAAGCTACTAAAACATCAAAAGTATGACAGCAAAAGCTGACAAATTAACATAAAACAAACTGGTAACAGTGGGCTACAATTAGTATGAGAGAGAGAGCATCCATCTCTATCTCTCTCCCTCTCTTTTTTTTTATTAATTAAATATACAAGATACATGAGAGGTAAAGGCAGTTGAGAATTTAACAAACTGACATTTATTGATTTTATGAATGCATTTGTGAGAGTCGTGGTTTAAATTAGCTTTGATTACATTTTTCTAGATTACTTAAGGTCGTGCAGTAAGTACCTGGCTGCTCTGCTCTGGAGGTCCACTCAGTCCTGCCGCAGCCATGTACGTGCTGCCGATGGTTTTAATCTTCTCCACACCACTGAACTTGGGCTTAGACAGCAACTGCAGGTAAGGAGAAGAGAGAAGGACAGAGTGGATGTCAATGTTTCCGAGCAGTAGAAATTCATGGCAAGATGTTATCTTGCATTATCTTAAATGGCAGAGAGAGAGAACGGGAGGATAATAAGAACTGAAAGAAGCGGGACAGCAGCCATACCACACTGAAACTTAACACTAGTAATAAGTGAAGTAAGCCAAGCATGGACCACCTGTATTTAGATCCTAACCATGAAGTCAGTCAAGCCAGGGCTTTGTTCGCAGCTCACAGAAATAAGCAGCTGAAGTGATGTGAGTGTACAACAATGGCTGCCTCATTTCATCAAACTACTCGAATGATTACTTGGGTGACGCCCTTGGAAGCTCTTCAGATGTTGGCAGAGAAGCACTATTCATATACAATGATTCATCCATTCATTCAGGGAATAAGAAGAGAAGAAAAGCAGGACCATCACATATGCTGCGAGACATGAGACGTGACATCACTCTGACCTCATCAAAGTCGGCGATGATCTCATTGAGGAGCCTCAAACACTCCAGTCCTTCTTTATTGATGTCACACTCAGTGTAGAACTCTTTGAAGTCCGGCACAGAGGCAAACATCACACATACGCAGTCATATGACTTATAGTACAGGTCCTGGAGAAGAGGATCGGAGACACATGCAGCAAGAGTTCAATGATTCAGTGTAATTATTATTCACATGGCACAACAGAAACAACAACAACATGTTTTATGAAAGGATATTCACAGACTCACAGATGACATGAGGTACGACTGATACGATACCACACATGACATGAGTGTTTTGAGTAACATGAATAAAATATTCACCAAATAAACTGGGGATAAATAAAATCAAGGGAGGAACGAGACTAAATGTATTGAGACATGAATTGTTTCACGAATGAAAAATCTCCATATTAAAAAGTAAAAAAACAATAAAAGTTATATATAAGAAAGTTATATATATACTTTTAAATTAATATGTTTATTTAGCACGGACACATGGTCAAAGGTGACAGAAAAGACTTTTCACTGTTACAAAAAAATTCTATTTCAAATAAATGGTGTTCTTTTAGAATTGTATCAAGGTTTTGTATCACAACTTTTTTCAACACTGTTAGTGACAAGAAATTTTTCTAGAGCAGCAAATCAGCATATTAGAATGATTTCTGAAGGATCATGTGACACTGAAGACTGGAGTAATGGCTGCTGGAAATTGAGCTTTGGCATCACAGGAATAAATTACTTTTTCAAAATATATTAAAATAGAAAACAGTTATTTTAATTTGTAATAATATTTCACAATATCACTGTTCTACCATATTTCAAATAAATTCAGCCTTGAGCAGTGGAGAGACTTTTTTAAAAAACATAAAAAATCTTACTGACCTGCAACTTGGACAAGCAGAGACAAATTAAAATAATTTCTGGACAGTGAGAATACGAAAAATGACCCAATCATTGTACTAGATAATTGTAAAATTATACTAACATTTCTTGAAAGAATGCAGATCAGGGAGGAATAAAAAATATATTAATTTCTGTAAATATTTCAGGCCTTTTTTCCGACCTAAAGTTTTGAATCTTTCTTAAATATGAAAAGGTAAATTATGGACTGTGGTTGAAAATGGTAGAGAGGTTACCATAAAATACAGTGTAGGGTGACTTAGTATTCTTTGTATAGTCTACATTGTAATCATACAGTAATGATATTGGAACGGTATTTTATGATATGATCTTGTGTGGTAAATGGCAGTGTTTCCCAACCTTTTTAATCTTATGTACTGCCACAGTCCAATCTGTACAAATGGCTCTTACAAATGTTAATTTTACACATATTATTTTGTTTTCTTTCCTTAAAAAGATCTGCAAAACCATAACATTATTCATAAATAGTTCTTTTAATGTATTGACATCCATTTTTTTTTTTTTTTTTTTTTAATATTCAACGAAGCAAAATCGAAATCATTCCAAGTGCCCTCTGGAACCGGCTCAGGTACCCCTGGTTGGGAATCACTGTTGGGAATATGTCTGGTCTTGTATGGGAAACAGAAGCGGATGATATACAGGTTCACCCCACTCACTCAAAGCCGGTTCCTACCTTGTATTTCCGGTTTAGTAAAGAGATAGTGGACAGCAGCCCCACCTCATTCTTTTTGTTCTCGCCCACGAAGAGAGAGGCCACGTGCGCAGGGAGAACATTTTCCAAAAGCAGCCGGTTCAGGTTTTCGCACAGCTCGACTTCTTCCTTATCGGCCAGGTTCTTGTTCTTCAACAGGAAGTCTTGACGACAACAGTACTCATTCTGAAGGGAAGAGAGAGGACAGAGCAAGGGTGGGTGTGACTTTCTCTGCTCAGTATTACTGTGTGTGTGTGTGTGTGTGTGTGTGTGTGTGTGTGTGTGTGTGTGTGGCATGAGGTGTGTACCTGGCGGGATATGAGCAGCATGGTAAAGAGGAAGAGTGTGATGTAGATGCAGCTCATGATTTGTGGGTGCTTCATAATTCCTGCTTTGCACAGCATCAGATTGTCCTCTACACTACAACAGACAAACAATAGACATGATTTTAACAGAGATGCACATATATTAAAATCCTTGCCAATACAGATTATTATTAAAAACACTAAAAATCTATTGTTCTCTTACGAGAGTATCTCTCGTACTGCGTAATAGCTTACGCTAGGGGAAAAACTCTTTTCCGCGAGATATTGAAGCCAAAAATAATCCTTAATTTTTTATTAATGTAAAACGCTTTGCAGCAGCAAGCAGACATAGGCGAAACAGCTCGCGCGCCTATTGGTTGCTCTGCAGCAAATGCAGCAGCCTATCGAGAGAGACTCTGCGTGACGTAATGACCAATGGGGGCAATTCGCGCCCATATCGTCACGTCCCGCCAGAAGGGGCGTGGTCTCACCCTATAAATATGCTCGTTAGGCTGATACAAGCTGATTTTTACCTCTTCAGCGAAGCACACGCATCGCTGGATCCGGAGTGAGAAGCCGCGCCGTCGAAGCAAGCCTTTCAGCGGGACGAGCTCTGGAGTCGCTGGCCTCGCCGCCTTCAACTGCCGTACCTGCTGCGCTTTCCGGCGTTCTATATCCTTTTCATACTCTGTGTGTATTTACTCTGTTGAGAGTGTTTGCTCGCTTACTTGACGCGACTCACACTTCTCTCACAAAAAGAGCTGCGTCTTTTTAAAGATGCCTTCCTGTGGCTCGTGCCGCGCCCCGCTCAGCGATGGAGACCGGCACGTCATCTGTGTTTCCTGCCTGGGTGAGGATCACGCGGCTCTCGCGCTCGCTGACGGCGGATGCCCTCATTGCGAGCTTTTGCCCATGGTGACTCTGAGGACTCGCCTGGCATCATTCTCCGAGCCTTCACCGCAGCCCGCCGTGGTGCCGCGCCGCAAGAAGCGCCGCGCCCAGCGCGCTCTCGAGCTTTCTCCAGCCCGCCAAAGCTCGCCGGTTCGCCCGCCAGCTTCGCCGGTTTCGCTCGAGTCGCTCACTGACGGACAACGGCCGCCGCCTGCCGCCGCGTCCATCCACGAGTTTGACGAACCCACCGAGGCGTGTTCTCTTCTGGCATCCGATAGTGAGGATTGGGCGAGCTCCGTGGATCTCCCCTCCGCTAGCGTTTCCCGCCAGCCCACTGGTAAGAGAGCCGGCATTGAGACTGAGCTGATGCGTCTGCTCTCTCAGGCCGTGGAAAGCATCGGCCTCGATTGGGAGGCGCCCGCGCAGCCGCCGCGCAACAGAATGGACGGACGCTTTCTCGGAAATGACGAGGCTCCGACGAAATCGCGGCCCGCGCCCTTCCTCCCGGAACTTCACGAGGAAGTGACTAAATCGTGGAACGCCCCCTTCTCCGCCAGGCTGCGTACCTCTGCCTCTGCTGCTTTCTCCTCGGTGGATGGCGCGAAGGACAGAGGATACCTTTCTGTTCCTCCTGTGGAACCAGCTGTAGCGTCTCATCTCTGCCCGCCCTCCGCTGGACGGCGCGCTCACACGACGCTACCTTCTAAAGCCTGCCGAGTGACGTCAACCATGCACGGTCGCGCTTACACCGCCGCCGGGCAAGCAGTTTCAGCGCTGCACACTATGGCTATCCTGCAGATCTACCAAGCCGACCTTCTCCTTAAATTGGACGAGGAAGGACCCGGAGCGATCTGCGTGGCGGACCTGAGAAGCGCTACAGACCTCGCTCTTCGCGCTACTAAAGCCGCTGCACAGGCCATAGGACGGAACATGGCCTCTCTCACCGTGGCTGAGAGACACTTGTGGCTGACGCTGTCCGAGATGACGGAAGCCGAGCGCTCTGTGTTCCTCGACGCGCCCATTTCACAAGCGGGCCTTTTCGGATCTGCCGTCAAAGATTTCGCGGACAGATTCATGGAGGTGCAAAAGACTTCGCAGGCCATGAAGCACTTCCTTCCGAAGCGCTCGAGCTCCGCTGCAGGCCGCTCAAAACAGCCGTCTGCTCGCAGTTCTCAGCCGCAGCCTGCACCGCCCGCCGCCGCCGCTTCACAGCGCCGCCACGCCCGAGACCAAAGACCGCGCTCTCGCTCTGCTGGACGCCGCCCCCCTCAGCGCGGGCCCCGGCCGAGGATTGAGATCAAGCCCGAGGCCTCAAAATCTTCCTAGCCATTCTAGGAAAGCGACGGTGTTCAGATCCCGCTGCGGCCGGATTTCCACCAAAACTTCTCGCTCGGTCAGTTCCAAACATCGCGACTGTCCCAGTGTATTTCGCAGTGAGCCAGCCGGTGTCTCAGCCCGTTTGCCTGCGCACAAAAGCCGTTTTTACGGCTACCCAGATAAATCCAATAAAGAGTGCATTTTCTGGTGTTCCGGCCACGGCCGATGGTGTTATAAGTGTTGTAAGAATGCCCACCCAGTGCCCATTCACACACACAGACACAGCCCGCCACGGTGCAGGGCTAGCACAAATAAAATCGACTCCGGTCGATTGTGCAAACAATGTAGTAAACGCGCCCATGTCACCATGCCCGCTCACACTACATGCTGCGTGTCCCTTGGTTTCTGTAAAAACGAAACCAACACACATTCAGTCGGCCATGAACGACAGTGTTTTCAGTGTTATAAATGTGCCCGCAGCCCCGCGCCCACATTTTGTCACAGACACGCCGATTCCTACGGGATCTCCCCCGCTCGCTTTTTCTGCACAATCTGCCATAAAAAAGCTGAGCGCGGTCAGGCCGCCCGCTGTGATCAGCGCGCCCCCCGCCTCGAACGCTGTAAACACGGTGTTGTGTTCCCAGTATGCCCGGGCTCTCGAGCTGCCGTTTTGCCGCGACCAGAGCCCGGATTTCATTCTGCCCCTAGCTATTCATGCAGATGCGTGGTCAAAGCTTCCCGGGGTATCAGAATGGGTGCTGAACACTATAAAGAGAGGCTATTCGCTACAATTCGCTCGACGCCCGCGCCGTTATACGGCGCGCTTCGAAACTACAGTGAAAAACGAAGTGTCTCATCTACTTCGTGCCGAGATAGCGAAACTACTGAGCAAAGGGGCTATAGAACCTTTATCTCAGGCTCAGAGCGAAGGGGGCCTATACAGCAGATATTTTCTGGTACCGAAAAAGGATGGGGGTCTCAGACCCATTTTAGATCTACGACAGCTGAACAGAGTGCTTGTCAAACGCCAGTTCAGAATGCTTACGACCAGGAAAATCCTCGCGCAAGTGCGCCACGGGGACTGGTTTATGTCGATAGATCTAAAAGACGCCTATTTCCTAATACAAATAGCGTCCCATCACAGGCGATTTTTGAGATTCGCCTTCGAGGGCCAGGCATATCAATACACAGTCCTGCCGTTCGGCCTGTCCCTAGCACCTCGTACATTTACGAAGTGCATGGACGCGGCGCTCGCACCCCTGAGACTTCAGGGCATGCGAGTCCTGAACTACTTGGACGATTGGCTGATTCTAGCTCGATCACGATCGGAGCTCATAGAACACAGGGCCGCATTACTCGAGCACCTCGAGGAGCTAGGCCTCACAGTCAATTGGACGAACAGCTCACTGTCTCCCAGTCAGAAAATTTCCTTTCTGGGAACCGTGTTGGACTCGCTGTCCATGACAGCACGCCTGTCACCAGAGCGCGTGCTAAATATTCAGCGCGGCGTGAAATCCTTCCGCCACGGCGCGATAGTTCCGCTCAAAAGGTTTCAGAAAATGCTGGGGCTGATGGCCTCAGCAGCCTCTGTACTCCAGTTGGGCTTGCTCCGCATGCGCCCACTGCAGATGTGGCTGAAAGCGCGGGTTCCACCCAGGGCATGGACAGCGGGTCTGTTTCGCCTCAGGGTCGACCTTCAGTGTGTTTCAGCTCTGGAACCTTGGAAAATAACCGACTGGTATCAGTCAGGTGTGAGTCTGGGGACCGCTTCGAGTGTGAAGGTGGTGTCTACGGACGCCTCCACCTCGGGGTGGGGAGCGCTGCTCGAGGGCAGACCGCTAGCTGGCCTGTGGTCAGAACGGGAAAAGCTCCTTCACATAAACTGCTTGGAGATGATAGCAGTCGACAAAGCGCTACGGCGTTTTTGTCCCCAGGTAACAGGCCACCACGTCTTGGTCCGGTCGGACAACATGTCAGTGGTGGCATACATAAATCGCCAGGGCGGCGTCAGGTCACGAAACCTTCACAGGCTGACGGAACGCCTCCTGGTCTGGGCTCAGCACAACCTGCTCTCACTGAGAGCGGCGCACGTGCCTGGTCACCTGAATGTGGGACCAGACAGACTGTCCAGAAACAATGTTCCAGCAGGGGAATGGTCGCTGCACCCGCAGACGGTCCAGCTGCTGTGGAAAACGTTCGGCAGAGCACAGGTGGACCTATTCGCGTCCCACGAAAACGCTCATTGCCCGGAGTTTTTCTCGAAAAGCAAGGACGCGCTGGCTCATGTTTGGCCCCGCTGCCCCCTATATGCTTTTCCTCCTGTCTCGCTCCTGCCTCAGGTGTTGGAACGAATCAGGGAGAACGGATGCCCAGTGCTGCTCGTAGCTCCGCTCTGGACAAACCAGACGTGGTTCCCTGCCCTGATGCAGCTGACCAGCACTGCCCCATGGCCTGTACCATTGAGGAGAGACCTCCTCTCTGGTCCCTGCACGCATGGGCCATCAACGGGTACCCGCTAGCCTCCCAGAAGGAGTGTTAAACACGATCGCGCAGGCTAGAGCTCCGTCTACCAGGCGGCTCTACTCCTCGAAATGGTCTGTTTTCTCTGCATGGTGTCAAGCCCAGAGCTTTTCACCTGTGGAATGCGGGGTTTCGGAAGTGCTTTCCTTCCTTCAAGAGCTACTGGATAAGGGCAGGACCCCATCCACGCTCAAAGTATATGTGGCGGCCATAGCAACGTTTGCAAAACCGGTGTCTGGCCAGTCGCTGGGGAAAAACGACTTAGTCGTGCGTTTCCTTAGGGGAGCTCGGAGGCTGAACCCTCCCAGGCCCCCTTCAGTCCCGACGTGGGACCTTTCCACGGTCCTGGAGGCCATGAAAGGCGCCCCGTTCGAGCCAATCCAGCTGGTGGACATGAAACACCTGTCGTTCAAAACAGTGTTTCTCATGGCTCTCGCTTCAGTGAAGCGCATAGGGGACTTACAGGCGCTTTCAGTAAGCGCGTCGTGTATGGAGTTTGGGCCTAATGACTCGAAGGTCATTCTCAAACAAAAGCATGGGTATGTCCCGAAATCCCTCAATACACCGTTCAGGGCCCAGGTAATTTCCCTGTCCGCCCTTCCGGTTCTCAGTGAGGAGGAGGATGCGAGTCTCCTTTGCCCCGTCAGGGCATTGAGAGCTTATGTGTCACGCTCGTCTGTTTTCAGACAGACGGAGCAGCTTTTTGTTTTGTTTGGCGGGCGTTCCAAGGGACTCGCCGCCTCAAAACAGAGCCTATCCAGATGGATAGTGGATGCCATTGCGCTCGCTTACTCTGCGAAGGGCCTACAGTGCCCCTTGGGTGTCAGGGCGCACTCCACGAGAGGCGTGGCCTCTTCGTGGGCGTGGTCGAGCGGGGTTTCCCTGCAAGATATCTGTACGGCCGCGGGCTGGGCCTCGCCGTCTACATTTATAAAATACTATAACCTGGAGGTACCGCCTTACAAGCTAAGCTTTTGGAGGTCTAAAATTCAGTGCTATCTGCCCCGCTGTGCGGCCCAGATGCTGAGTTTACTGCAGCCCCATGAGTGTTGACACACGTATGGCCACCCAGATCAGGCTGAAAGCTTTCACCCTGGCTGCGCGTTTTATTGTCATATAATAGCCCCGCTGGGTGCTTTTTTATAGGGAATGACGCTTCCAGCCTCTCTTCCTCCACTCTATGTGAGTTTATGGTGATTATGCATTACATGAGCCCTGGGCTTCGGCCCCCGGGACTTTGGTGTGGATCCCTGTACGCACGGCGTGTTGCATTGTGTTCCCCTAGCGTAAGCTATTACGCAGTACGAGAGATACTCTCGTAAGAGAACGTACTCGGTTACTAACGTAACCTCGGTTCTCTCTAGAGAGGGAACGAGTACTGCGTATCTTGCCGTGCTTGGAATACGCTCTGGTTCGCTTCAGTGATAAAAACCAGCTTGTATCAGCCTAACGAGCATATTTATAGGGTGAGACCACGCCCCTTCTGGCGGGACGTGACGATATGGGCGCGAATTGCCCCCATTGGTCATTACGTCACGCAGAGTCTCTCTCGATAGGCTGCTGCATTTGCTGCAGAGCAACCAATAGGCGCGCGAGCTGTTTCGCCTATGTCTGCTTGCTGCTGCAAAGCGTTTTACATTAATAAAAAATTAAGGATAATTTTTGGCTTCAATATCTCGCGGAAAAGAGTTTTTCCCCTAGCGTAAGCTATTACGCAGTACTCGTTCCCTCTCTAGAGAGAACCGAGGTTACGTTAGTAACCGAGTATGTTTTAAATGTCCAGTATGAAACAAGTGGATATTTATTTTGAGATTTGCTAATGATAACATGTAAGAGTGCTCAAATATTAATAGAATAACTAAGTTGACAGCAAAAAACAGGGGTAATATAAGCATCTACAATTAAATATACATTTATGAAAATGATATGAAAATCAACAGAGTGCAAGTATAAGACACATGCATGTGTATTTGAGAGTGTACCAGCTGTGGTTGGTGTAGAGCAGGCAGCTGTAGCTGCTGAAGAGATTCTGCTGGGAGTAGAAGATGATGATGTAGGAAATAGTTGAGACGATGAAGAGGAAGGCCACCTTCAGCTCCAAACTCACCCTCAAAAACACTCCACAGGCGATCAACGCCAATATACAATTATATACTGAGTACTGGAAAGACAAACCATACAGAAACTCAATAAATCATTTTTCTATTGTTTCTTTGGCAACAAGACAGCAGTTATAATACTCTCATAATCTAACATCAGGGCTATGACACGTACTCATTTATAAAGATGATAAATGAGTAAATTAAATCATATAATAATGTAAATCATTTTTAGGGTTATGATGTGGGTTCGGGTTAGTTTGTTGTATTTATAATTAGCTGTATACAAAAATAACAGAAGTTTAGGCCATGTCTCCATTTAGATATGTAAATAAAAGTGCTTGATACTCACAGGCAAATACGAAAGGTCATCTTTGACAGAATCAGGAATGTTGCTGTTATTTTGTAGCAGAGTGGCACATAAATTCTCCGGGTTTTTTAAATACTGTGGAGTGAAAGACTGTGAAAAAAAATGTTAACAGGTGGTACAGTACTTACGTGTACTTACCTAGAAAGTACTGGCTAATATAAGGTAAGTACATGGGTTAGGGTTAGGTTTAGGGGTAGGTTCAGGGTTAGTACCTAGTTATTACCCAGTAATTGTAATTACTATAATAAGTACATAGTATGTACATGGGTAACAGGACTGTAAAAGGAAGCGTTACCAACTCTTTTTGCAATGCTTCAGTGAACACATATACCAAAAATATTGTCTGAGGACCTAAGCATAAAAAAGTCTAATTTCTGTTGTGAGTGTTTTTAGTGTGTTACCCCCAGCATGAGACACTAAACTAAATCATGTATTTGTGACCTTTATTGCAGTGACAGAAAGGCTGAGCATTACCAAGTTGAACATGGCGATGATGACTATGATTGCGGTGGCTACAGTTGCCAATGGGAGGCGCAGAAAAGGTCTCTTAACCACTGCTTCTGAAAGAGCCGAGAGCCACGTGCATGACTTCAACTTCTCTGGAAACTGCCTCTGAGCAAGAAAAAGAAGGGAAAAACAGCTGTTCAAAGAGAAAGAAAGCTGGATTTGACCTGAGCAAAAGCTCAAGGTTACTGAAGCCAGAGTACGTTGGAAAAAGCAACAGTGTATTTGAACGGGGCAGAGAGGACACTGGGAGTATTTCAGTTTGCAACATCGTAGCAACTGTTTTTAGTTATTTTACATTCCAATATAATTCAGTGCCAACAATGGACACAGCATATGACATTCTCCACATTACAGCATTGTACACAGCAAGGGAGGCACTGCATGCTCCAGCATCTACAAAACCACAAAAATACCCCAGAAACCATCAGGCCAACTGAATGGGTGTGCTGAGGCAAAAGAAAGCATTGGTGGTCTAACCTGTATATGACTCGCAAAACAGATGCACAGAATCAAAAGCAGAAAACACCCCAATACCACAAACGTCAGCCCCAGCTCTTTACGCCTAACAGAGAGAGAGAGAGAGACAAAGAAAGATAGTTATGTTTACTCTCAGGGCAAATGATTGTAGCACATGAAGACACACGTTCAGCACCAAAGTGTTAAATTGAGTCTGCATATGGGGTTCGCTTGTGTTCATGCCACTTACTGTTTGGTAACAAACATCTGGATGATGAAGATGCAGATAAAGATGAAGGTGGCACAACCAATGTAATATTTAAAGCTTGGCATCTCTATAGTCCTGTACTGAGAGAACCACATACACGCATTTGTTTAATTTCTTCATTTTTTTTTTTACGTGTAGACAACACCAGTGGCGTAGCGCAAATTCACGGGGCTCCCCTCTTTGTGTGTGTGTGTGTGTGTGGGGGGGGGGGGGGGGGTTTAGCGTACTTGTTTATTTAGCTACTCATTTATTGAATAATTTACTTGATTTTATCACGGGGAATGACGTGTGCAAAATCTGAATCTCTGTCCATAATTTTGCGAGTAATTGTTGATAAAGGAAAATTTCGCACAATATTGGAATTATTTACATTTTAAACCATGAAGGCGAGTCAGTGGATATCACACAAGCAATGTGCAAACTTTGCTCTCGAGTTATGGTGGTGGAGAAGTCTCAAACCCCAGTCAATTATTCACTACAGAAAGCGAAAGTAAAAACATCTGACGCTGCATTAACGGTGCATATTCTCTCAGAGACGATGACAGCCGAATCTTCAACCTGCTGATAATGGTATAGGCCTATATAACTGTCTTAATTTTTTTTCTTAATATTTCTCTTGTGGCCCATAAGTAGTGAAAAAAAATTAGAAGAGAAGTATTTAGTTTTAAACAAGTTGTATTTGAAATGAGTAAACTAATTTAACTAATCTTTTATTTTCCTCGCAGCTCGTCTGTATGGGGTGATGCGCCATAAAATCATTGTGGAGAAATTGAATTGTAGCTAATAGCCTATTAATTTAACGTAATAATAATAATTTATTATGCCTAGATTAATTGGAAATGTCAAATCCACTTAATAAGGCCGATAGCTGATGCTGATCATCTACTGATCATCGTCTATCGACGCATCAGCGCATCGCGTCTATTAGCTGATCATCGCCTATCGGCACAACCTGGCACAGGGGTTTTCGCAGGGCCCTCCAACAAGCGGGGCACCCTCGCACTGCGTGCCCGTCCGCTACGCCACTGGACAACACATGGTGTATGAAACAAGAAAAATCCCACAGCCTAAATAATTAAATAACTGTTTGTCTTTCTGTCTAACACATACATTCCAGAAGTTACAGCCCTCAGGAAAACACTAACCTGCTTTTCAAGGTCTCGTTTAGTAAACCACAGCGTGAGGCCAGAGATCTCTTCCGACTTCACCCACTTTCTGCACACACACAAAATCTTTCTTCACTCGTTTTCATACGCACTAAATGTGCAACTTTAACCAAACTGGACTTAATTCCATTCAAAATGATTTAATGTGCTTGTTTATGTCAGACTAACTTGCTGGAGCTCAGATCATTGATGGTGGTGGTCATCTTGTCGTGAAGCTCTTCATCAAACTTAGTCTTCTGTGATTTATTCCTACAAGGACAGTAGACACAGATCACAGAGACAAAAACTCACTTGGACCCATGAAGTAACACACACACACAATGCACATGTCTAAATGTGCATGTGCACTGTGGGATAGAAAAGATGTTTATAGCTGTTGTCATGCTGTTATTGAGTTATATTTGACTGCAGCCAGTACAAGGGAAGCTTCGGTGAATATGTGTGAAGTTCATAGTTCTAAATGACTTGACTAGTTTTGTAGTTACAGTTTTTTTTCGATTGCTAAACGACAGTGAGCACAACTGGAGCTACATGTGCAAAACTCTAACTACAGTCTGCACAGCAGCAGTTCATGTGGACCAAACTCTAGTTCGTTTTTCAGTGCTTGAACACAGTTTTCAAAACTCTACACACTTATCCCATGACTTTAACCACAACCTGCACAACACTGTGGATTTACAGCACTTTGTTCAAATGCTAACACACTGCTGTCAAAACTGTGAACCACACATTCAAAACAGAATAGATTTCAGCCTTGTGCCTTTCAAACACTACTGATTGCAATTTCAGCTGAAAGGCTCAATTATTTGTTCGAATTACAGTATGTACTTTTAGTTTCTACCTTTTTTTCTCATTACTGTAATTCCATAAATTACTACAGACTATTGAAGCAAACTGCTCATTTTCATTTACCTTAAAGAATTGTTATGTTCTAAAAATTTAAATAAATCATGTGAAAGAATGTCTCTCTTTGAAGAAATTACTTTGTATGAAGTCACTGAAATTGTTCAAACTGTAAAGATGAAAAGTTAGTATTTTCTGTTTTGGTGTTTGATGCTAGTGTTTTTACTCTCAGTGTGTTCTGAGTGACAGTGTGTGTTATCTCAGTGAGGGTTGTGCATAGTGTTTGTCTGCATGAGCCTGTTTTGAGCCATGTGTTAAGAGTTGTGTTGCTTGGAATGAGTTTTGCAGGTGATGTGAACTGTTTAGCTCAGGTGACTGTTGGTAGTGCAGACTGTAGTTAGAGTTTTGCACATGTAGCTCCAGTTGTGCTCACTGTCGTTTAGCAATCGAAAAAAACTGTAATAATTTGTTTAGTTAAGGGATCTAAATAGATAATAAGTTCTAATGTAGTTTTGTTGAGAATTAAGTGTGTGTGTACCTGGTATTCCCTACATTATGGGGACCAAATGCCCCCACAAGGATATTAATACCAGTAAATTTTGACATTATGGGGACTTTTTTTGTCCCCATGAGGAAAAGAGCTTATAAATCATACTAAATGAAGTGTTATGAAAATGTGATAATGCAGAGAGTTTTCTGTGATGGGTATGTTTAGGGGTAGGTTTAGTAGGTTAGTGTAGGTGGATAGAATATATAGTTTATACAGTATAAAAATCATTACATCTATGGGAAGTCCCAATAAAACATGGAAACCAGTGTGTGTGTGTGTGTGTGTGTGTGTGTGTTTGTGTGTGTGTTTGTGTGTGTGTGTTTGTGTGTGAGAGCCGTGGCAGACAGAATGCCTTGTGTTAGTTTAAACCCTGACAGAGTCCCCTTGCAATGGTCCTCAGCACTTCTCAGAAAGGAAAATGCTGTTTCCTTTCTCTCTCTTTGCAAGCAGAAACGCATGCTTGTCTAAACCAAAAGTGCACTGTAGGCTGGAAACACACCACTGAGGGAGTGCAGCTATGGTCATGCTAACCATATGACCAGTTAAAAGTGGCTCACTGAGCATTTGCATTGTTAGTGTTGAAACTAAAGGCCCCATAGAGCTTGCTGAGCCAGTATGGCTCCACTCACTTATATGTGCACAAGGGAGGGGCAGGTAAAGAGAAGGGCTCCTCAAGAGACTCATCAAAACTGTCAGAGAGCAACAGTGAGAAAGACAACTTCAACATCACTGCTTCAGTCAGCAAGACAAAACCAGACTCAAGACATACTAAAGTGGACATTTATAAAAAGCTTTTGAATGGCCCTTAGGCCATAGACCTTGTTTTTTCCAACTGAGATACACACAAGACAGACCAATATATGACGCAAACAACACTCACCTCTCTGTAATTTTGGTCGTTACTGATCTAAGAGGGATGTCCTAAAGAGAGAGACAAACGTGAACATCTGCTTTGCACCTCTCTGTGTGTAAATAATGTAGGAATTGACCTCACAACACCCATTACTTAACCATGGCCACTGCTTTTGAAGGATTAAAGCATGTTTTGAAGCACGGATTAATTGCAAAGTTTAAAACATCATAGAGTGAAATTTTATCGTCTCCTTGCACTTGAACGGATGCATACACACAAAATTATGTCAAAATGCCCGTCTTGGTTAGTATTCACGTAAACACAGTCAGTTATACACATTCGGCACAGTTTTAAGTGTACATTAACAGTTGAGAAAGAATCATTATATTGGATACGTGCATTCTGCCTTAAAGTGACAGCAGGATAAAATACCTGCTGCTGTTTGTCATTAATGTTAATCAAACAACAAAAGACAGCTTTAACAAAGATGAATCTATATTTAATAGATTAAATCAGTGAACACTGTGCAGTGTACTTACTTTATTTGTAACTTTGTTATATTGTATTCGGTTGCACTTTATTTTAAGGTGTCATCGTTACAGTGTAATTATATATTTAAGTACTAAGTAAAATTAAGCAACTACATGTACTTACTATAGTGTTAGGGTTAGGCATAGGGTTTGGTTGAGGGTTAGTTGCATGTAATTATGCATATTTTACTGTTATTACTATGGTAAGTACATGTAACATATGTAACAAGGACACTGTAAAATAAAGTGTTACCTTGAATTCATCTATGCTTGTAATTAGTGTATTTGTTCTTGGGTTTTTTTAAACTGATAACTAACTTTTTGCTAATCCAAAAAATTATCCGATCCGTGACTCAAAAACCATAATATGATCTGAACTGTGAGATTTGTGATCTGTTGCACCACAAATAACTTTCTCTGTCTGTTAAACAAAATTATGTTGCAATTATGTCACTTATGTACCTGATGATTCTGCAATAAATTAATAAATACTATACAGTTTATAACCGTGAAAAAAACCCCTCAAAAAACCCCCCAGAAAACAAGATTTTGTATCAGGTTATGTTGCACTAAATATAATGGTACAAGATGAGAAAATGACAAGGGGAAATCTATCCAAATGTCAAAAAGTAAGACAGTTGATGTCATAAATATTGACATTAATGCACAAGAGTAGTGTGATGCTTTCTGCAGATGCAAACAGACGTTCATTTAAAATAGGCAAGTTTAGTTCTTCATGCAATCTACAGCAGAATCTGATACAACACGTATTTTTCAAAATTACTGTCTTGTATTGAGAATGGAATGAACAAAACTCTATTCACTAGCCTCTGTGGATACCTAGTTTTTAAATCATGTAAAATAACAACACAATAATGCTGGGATTTTGCCAAAAAAAGTTTGTCACAGAAAGTCTAGTAATATCGCATCTACAACGGACATGAAGGGCGCGGTGCGACAAAAGAACCCATTATAATCAGTGATGTTGTATACACTGGATGTGGCGTTTCGCGACATGACAAATCCCCAAAAGTAAACCGATGCCTCGTTCTATTTATGACGTACTCCAAGCACTCGTGATATTTCTCATAGGAAGAACAAATGGATTTGCTTTGTCACATCCAGTGTTGACAGCTTCTAGCTGTTGCAAAGTGATGCGACTCCTAAACTGTCACGTCCGGTGTAGACACGGTTTAAGCTTAATGGTCAAACTGGCGGATAACAACAAGGCTTATCAGCGCAGCGATTTGTTTGGTATTTAGGCTGTCAGTCATTTATCTGTTGTGAGGTCAATTCTCATTTTTGTGTGATCTATTCCTTTAACGTCTGTATCTCTGACCTTGCAGCGACCCTTTCCATTGACCATAGCATCTGTGCAGAATTCCTCTCGGCTCTGCAGATGGGCAAACGGTTTGACGGCCCCCCATGACTCCAGGAAGCGTGTCATACGCACAGATGCTCTCATCTTCAAACCGTCACTCACACGAGGCTTAGTGACACTGGGGGCCATCAGTGATGGATCTTTTGACTTAACACACAAACATAAACAACACACCAACATATTCAGATTCATATACAGTAACAAATATATGGCAGACAGACATACACTTCTAATGTTTGAGTTAAAGTCTCTACCCGAGGGTCTATGACCAAATAAGTTTTGATGCTGAGCTCTTTAAGGTAGGGGTCTCTCAAGTGACCATTCCCCTCCTCCACCTCATACGCTTTGTTCAAGTGCTTCAGAGTCGCCTCTGTGATGTGAACTCGTCTGATGGAGAAAAAATAAGTAGCATCTTATGAAGAAGGCCTGAGGTATGACATTACGATACAGACAGTATTCTGTGTGCAACTTTTATCAATTATCATTTGATAAGTGATTTTATTGTTCATACCCTGGTAATCCACCTGACTCCATATGATTTGCTAAGGTGACATCATGTGACCACACATCAAACTGCCACTTCCGTAAGCCAATCACACCACAGAGGACGTTTCCAGAGTGTACACCTACTCGCATGTTAATATCCACACCTGTTGCCTCGCGCACCTGCCTGCAAGTGATGATTAGAAAAATAATCAGCCATTCATCTGCCAAATATCTTGGCCAGTGCTAGAAAGAAACACTATAAGGATAAATGCTGTGCTAATGATGACGTGAACATATATTTTACATATTTTATAAACATATAGACTTACTTGATGGCTTCACACATGTCCAGGCCCATTTTAACACAGTTTTTGGCATGATTTGGCAGGGAAACGGGGAGGCCAGACACACAGTAATAACAGTCACCAAGAATTTTTATTCGCATGCACTCATTCTCCTAAAGGGGAAAAAACACAAGCACACACAAGGACACCTATTATGTACAATTCAGAGCACAAGTATCTAATTTACCAATTGATCAATTAAATGTTTGTTTAGGAACCAAACTGATTGATAATCAGATTGAATTATATTAAATGAAATTAAATTATGTTATATACAGTATATATTAAGTTATACACAGTACCATTCTTAAATTTGAGGTCAGTTAATTTTTTTTAAAATAAATTAATACTTTTATTTGTTGCAATTTATTTTACAGTGCACTTTCAATGAAAGTACTGAATACAAAGTACCAAGAAAGTACTGAATAATATAAGGTAAATGTATGGGTTAAGATTAGGTTTAGGGGTAGATTCAGGACTAGTACCAAGTTATTACCCAGTTTTTTGTAATTACTACAATAAGTATACAGTATGTACATGCGAAACAGGACTGTAAAATAAAGTGCTACCTTTTTATTTAGCAAGGATGCCTTAAGTTGATCAAAAGTGACAGAAAGATATTTATAATGTTACAAAGGATTTCTATTAAAAAAAATGCTGTTGTTTTGTACTTAACGGTGCATTGTGTAATATTTAGGAGGATCTGTTGACAGAAATGCAATATCATATACATAACTATGTTTTCAGTGGTGTATAAAGACCTTACATAATGAACCGTTATGTTTTTATTACCTTAGAATGAGCCATTTCTATCTACATACACCGCGGGTCCCCTTACATTGAAATGCGCCGGCATGTTTCTACAGTAGCACTAAACGGACAAACGCGTTTCGTTACTATGTTATTCTTCATGCAAAGAAGCTAGCTAAAGTGAGCAAATAAAACACTGACACAATGATGAACAAGTAGCAATAATATTCACAATAACATATCGTTTTACTGAATAATCAAGTAAACCTAATTTCTTATTTTATCTTTGCTTAACTGGCTACTCTCTGCTGTCTTAGACGACGATATCTTTTCCTGTCGGTCACCGTAACTTCTGTTGATTGCAATTCGCAACCTCACCACTAGATGCCGCTAAAAATTACACAGTGCACCTTTAAAGAATACTGAAAAAATGTTAAGAATGTTAAACATTTTACAAAAATATTAAGCAGCACAACTGTTCTCTTACGAGAGGTTCTCTCGTACTGCGTAATATCTTACACTAGGGGAAAACCTCTTTTCCATGAGATATTGAAGCCAAAAATTATTCCTAATTTTTAATTAATGTAAAACGCGTTGCGGCAGCATGCAGACATAGGCAAGGCGGCTCTCGTGCCTATTGGCTGTCCTGCGGCAACTGCAGCAGCCTATCGAGAGAGGCCCTTGGTGACGTCAGATCCAATGGGGGCGCTTCGTGCCCACTACGTCACCTCCCGCCAAAGCGGGCGTGGCCTGGGCCTATAAATATAGCTCGATGGGCTGATATAATCTGATTTTTCATCTCTTCAGCGAAGCTCACGCATCGCTGGATCCGGAGTGAAGAAGCCGCGCAGTCTGAGAAAAGCCTTCTGCGGGACGAGCCTCTGCATCTGAAGCCACTGGCCTTCATCCCGCCGCCTTCAGTCGCCGTACCTGCTACACTTTCCGGCGTTATATCCTTTTTACTCTGCATAGTGTGTGTGTTCGCCGCCGCGACTCTGCCCGCAAGTCGTCAGGGAAACGGGCCAGCATCGAGTCGGAACTGATGCGTCTGCTCTTACAGGTCGTGGAGAGCCTCGGCCTTGAGTGGGAGGCGCCCGCGCGCAATCGGCTGGACGGATGTTTCCTGCAAAAGGACCGCGTGCCACCGCATTCTAGGCCCGCGACTATTCTTCCTGAGCTCCACGAAGAAGTTGCGAAGTCCTGGAACGCCCCCTTTTCAGACAGAGTGCGCACCTCTGTCTCAGCAGCATTCTCCATGGTGGACGGTGCGAAAGACAGAGGATACCTATCTCTTCCTCCAGTGGAAGAAGCTGTAGCGGCCCATCTTTGCCCGCCCTCTGCTGGACGGTGAGCTAAGACGGCGTTACCTTCCAAAGCTTGCCGTACTACTTCCGCCATGCACACCCGCGCTTATTCCACCGTGTCGGCATTGCATTCGATGGCCATACTGCAGATACTCCAGGCTGACCTTCTCCGAAAAATGGATGAGGAAGGCCGGAAGCTATCAGTGTGCCGGATTTAAGGAGCGCTACGGACCTGGCTCTTCGCGCTGCGAAATCCGCTGCACAGGCCATTGGGCGGACCATGGCTTCTCTCACCGTCGCTGAGAGACACCTTTGGCTGACGCTAACTGAGATGCCGGACTCGGAGCGCTCTGTGTTCCTCGACGCGCCCATCTCCCCAGCTGACCTCTTTGGATCATCCGTCAAGGATTCCGCGGATAGATTCGCCGAGGTTCAGAAGACGTCACAGGCTATGAAGCACTTCCTCCCGAAGCGCTCTAGCTCCGCAGCAGATCGCTCAAAACAGCCGTCTGCTCGAAGCTCCCAGCCACAGCCTCTGCCCGCCGCCGCCGCTTCACAGCGCCATCAAGCCCGGGACCAGAGACCACGCTCTCGCTCTGCCGGCAGCCGCCGCTTCACAGCGCCGTCAAGCCCGGGACCAGAGACCACGCTCTCGCTCTGCCGGCCGCCGCCCTCCTCCGCGTAGGCCCCGGCCGAAGATTGAGATAAAGCCTAAGTCTTCCTAGCCTTCCTAGGAAAACGACGGTGTTCAGGTCTCGCCGCGGCCAGACTTCCACCAAAAATTTTTCGCTCGTTCAGTTCCAGAAAATGCGACTGTTCCAGTGTATTCTGCAGTAAACAAGCCGGTACCACAGCCCGCTTGCCTGCACACAAACGCCGTTTTTACGGCGACCCAGATGAATCACATAAAGAGTGTAATTTCTGGTGTTCCGGCCAAGGCCGATGGAGTTATGAGTGTAATAAAAATGCCCACAGCTCAGTGTTCATTTGTACACACAAACACAGCCCGCCACAGTACAGGGCTCGCACAAATAAAATCGACTCATGTCGATTGTGCATTAAATGTAGTGAATGTGCCCACAACCCAGTGCCCACAAACACTACACACTGCATGTCCCACGGTTTCTGTAAAAACAAAACCAACACACATACAGTCAGCTCAGGCCGACGGTGTTTTCAATGCAGCAAATGTGCCCGCTCACATTCACTCACAAACATGTTAAGCCCCACAGGGCTCGCCCTGCTCGCTCTCTCTCAGCAAACTGCTAGAAGGGAAACAAGCGCGGCCAGGCTGCCCGCCACGATTGGCGCGCCCCCCGCCTCAAACGCTGCAAGCACAGTGTTTACGTTACAGCACACCAAAGCTCTCCTGTCGCCACTACGTTGCGGCCAGAGCCTAGATCTCATTCTACCCCTAGCTATTCATGCAAATGCTTGGGCAAAGCTTCCCGGGGTATCAGAATGGGTGCTGAACATTATAAAAAGAGGCTATTCGCTGCAGTTCGCTCGATGTCCCCGCCGCTACATGGCGCGGGTCGAAACTACGGTAAAAACCGAAGTAGCCCATCTACTTCGAGCCGAAATAGTGAAGCTATTGAGCAAAGGGGCAATAGAGCCTTTATCTCAAGCTCAGAGCGAAGGGGGGCCTAGACAGCAGATATTTTCTGGTACCAAAAAAAGACGGGGGTCTCAGACCCATTCTAGATCTAAGACAGCTGAACAAAGTGCTTGTGAAACGCCAGTTCAGAATGCTCACAACCAGGAATATCCTCGCGCAGATTTGCCAAGGGGACTGGTTTATGTCAATAGATCTGAAGGACGCGTATTTCCAAATACAAATAGCGTCCCGTCACAGGCGATTCTTGAGATTCGCCTTCGAGGGCCAGGCATATCAATACACAGTCCTACCGTTCGGCCTGTCCCTAGCATTTACAATGTGCATGGACGCGGCTCTCGCACCCCTGAAACTTCGGGGCATGCGAGTTTTGAACTACTTGGACGATTGGTTGATTCTAGCTCGATCAAGCGCGACGTGTATGGAATTTGGGCCAAATGACTCGAAAGTCATACTCAAACCAAGACACGGATACGTGCCTAATACCTCAACACACCGTTCAGGGCTCAGGTTATTTCCCTGTCTGCCCTGCAGGTTTACAACGAGGAAAAGGACGCGAGCTTCCTTTGCCCAGTCAGGGCATTAAGAGCTTTTGTGTCTCGCTCGTCTGTTTTCAGACAGACTGAGCAGCTCTTCGTTTCATTCAGCGGACATGCTAAGGGACTAGCCGCATCGAAACAGAGCCTATCCAGATGGATAGTTGATGCCATAGCGTTGGCATACACGTCTAAAGGCTTGAAGTGTCCTTTAGGTGTTAGAGCGCACTCCACAAGAGGCATGGCCTCGTCGTGGGCTTGGTATAGCGGGATTACCTTGCAGGATATCTGTATGGCGGCAGGCTGGGCCTCCCCGTCTACATTTATAAGGTTTTATAACCTAGAGGCTAAACTACTTTCGGTCTAAAATCAGTATTGTCTGCCCCGTTGCTTCAGCTCAGAATACTACAACCGCTTGAGCACCGCTCGCTGATCGATAAAATTACTCCATGGGCAAAAGTAAGACCCATACTGTTACACAGTTCAGGCCGAACATTTTCACCCTGACTGTGTGGAACACTGTTAATGTGATTAGCTCCCTTAGGACGCTAACTTATTGGGAATGACGCTTCTAGCCTCTCTTCTCACTCTTTGTGAGTCCCTGGCAATTATGCATTATATGAGCCCCGGGCACCTGCCCTTGGGACTTTGGTGTTGGTTCCCAGCACGCACAGTGTTTTACACTGTGTTCCCCTAGCGTAAGATATTACGCAGTACGAGAGAACCTCTCGTAAGCGAACATACTCTGTTACTAACGTAACCTCGGTTCTCTCTAAAAGAGGGAACGAGTACTGCGTATCTTTGCCGTGCCTGCAACACGCTCTGGTTTGCTTCGGCGATGAAAAACCAGATTATATCAGCCCATCGAGCTATATTTATAAGCCCAGACCACGCCCGCTTTGGCGGGAGATGACGTAGTGGGCGCGAAGCGCCCCCATTGGATCTGACGTCACCAAGGGCCTCTCTCGATAGGCTGCTGCAGTTGCCTCAGGACAGCCAATAGGCACGCGAGCCGCCTTGCCTATGTCTGCATGCTGCCGCAACGCGTTTTACATTAATTCAAAATTAATGATAATTTTTGCCTTCAATATCTCGTGGAAAAGAGGTTTTCCCCTAGCGTAAGATATTACTCAGTACTTCTAGAGAGAACCGAGGTTACATTAGTAACCGAGTACGTTTTCAACATTGATAATAATAATAAAAAAACAGCACCAAATCAGTATATTAGAATACATTTTGAAGGATCATGTGACACTTAAGACTAGAGTAATGATGCTGAAAATTCAGCTTTGCCATCACAGGAACAAATTATATTTTAAAATATATATATATATTCAATAAATATATTCAAATATAAAACACGTTTTAAAACAAATAATATTTCACAGTATTACAGTTGTACTGTATTTTGATCAAATAAATGCAGCATTGGTGAGCATAAGAGCATAATTATATTATATTATACACATATTTAATCATACTTACTTTTGCAATCTGGTCAAATTTCCCAAAAAGTTCATTCAGCATGATCACAAGCTCCTTAGGAGAACAGTCACTGGCCAGACGTGTGAAACCCACAATGTCAGCATATAGGATGCTAACAGAAAACAAGGGGAAGACAAAAAGAGACAATCTTATTGTCACCATTATATTCAGTTTAGCTTAAGTTTCATTTTCATGGACTCTTATTATGTTTCTCTGTTGCTGTCTGCCTTTGATCCTGTTTACATGTCATTCAACAGTTGTCATGGTTATTCTTTATGTTCCTAATTAGCAGCACACCTGTTTGTATTTGAGTTCGTCACATTGTGTATTTAAGTTCTTCTGTTTGTGTTTGCACGCTGTGTCGCATCTATGTGTATTATCTGAGTTAAAATTGTTTTAATTAAAAAACGCTTCTATTTGAAACTTCTTCATCGTTGTGTTTTAGTATTTAGTTTTGGAAATAAAAAAAAGGGAGAAACAAATATGCTTGCTAGTTTGAATCTCATGTCATATCAAATTGGAAGCGAAAACATTTAGAAGTTGATGTGACTTGTGCCGAGTCCTTTTTAATGACGAGAAAAGCAGCAGCTCAGTGTCAGCTGTCTGAACGCCCTGAAAAGAATAAAAACTTCATAAACACGGCTCATGGAAATGAACCTTTAAGACCCAGCTGTTCTCAATGCTGACTACAAGACCAAACACACACACACACACACACACAATCCATGTCATCACACTCCTAATGAACAAGTTCAAAAAGAGAGTGGACCCCATAAATCTCGGCAGGTGAACAGCTCTCTATTGTTTGCTCACACACAGGTGAGTCAATCTGTGTTTTATCTGAGCAGCTGTAAGCCGTCCGTCTATCTAAATATAAACGGCTGCCTGAGAACCAAGCATTGTGAGCTTGGACAAAAACATTAATAGATGCCTGTCCACTCTTGGGGTTGATGGGAAATAAAACTAATTAAATGAGTGGCCTCATGATGAGCACTCTGAGAGTTAGGTCTAACAGACTGACCATTCATTCACTATCAGGACTTGATTAATGAGGAATTGCAAAATTAGAGAATGGAAACAGAACAACGCACAAATGCCTCTTGTATGAATTGTAAGACAGCATTGATGAGTAAAAGCACATGATGTTTTACCTGACATTCTCATGTCTCTTCACGTAGAGACTGTGGAAGTTGTTGTCCCGGACCATACGCTGCTGTTCCTCTTTATCTTTACACTTGCAGCGCTCCATTATGGCCAACTTCATCTTCATGGAGATGTACACAGGAAGGACTGACTGTAAAAGGTTTTCCTACAGCACAAACACACACATTTAAAGATAACACCCGTAATATATCATACATTGAGTTTACTGTTAAAGTCTGTTTAATTTCTATTTGTAACAGATTAAGAGTCACCAGGCTGAGATCTGGACTATGGGAAGATAATGGGAAACTGTATCATTGAGAAGAAGAAAGCATTGTCTTCACTGTGTATTGTAAGGTCACTATTACCCCGTGTTCTATGTTGTCTTTAGGGTTCACCATTAGGACATTGTTCCTGAGCTTTACTATAATGTCCATGTATAGTTAGGGAGGTTAACAGCCTGCCATTAAACTCTACCCTGCTTTTCAGTGTTCTCTTTATGTGATGTCACTTCCTCAACAACAGTCATAACAAACTGAGAAACAACAATTCCTTTGATTGTAAAAGGACACAAGAAGTTTAATTAAGAACAGGATAAACTTATACCTCCTTGATTAAATTTTTAATGTGCAAAATATAACCTTCAGCTGTCAAATTTGAAGATGAATGAAGCAAGGGTTAGTTCACACAAAAATGAAAATACTGTCATCATTTACTCACCCTCATGTTGTTCCAAACTTGAAAGACTTTCGTTCATCTTGAGAACACAAATGAAGATATTTTTAATAAAATCTGAGAGATTTCTGTCCCTCCATAGACAGCAAAGCAACTGACACTTTGGCGCTTCAAAAAGTTCATAAAGAGATAGTAAACGTAATCGATATTAATTGACCAGTTTAGTCCAAATTTTCTGAAGAGACTTGATCGCTTTATATGATTTATATATAACAGATTTAATTTAGGCTTTTATTTACCTACAAACATTCATCAGCAAACTTAAACAGAAGCTCAACCGAACCTGCTAGACGCACGAAAAACACACATCATTGGTTCTTGTGGAACAAATCTTAGGGATTTGAAACGACATGAGGGCGAATAAATGATGACAGTATTTTCATTTTTGGGTGAACTAACCTTTTAAATAAAATCATTAAAAAGTTTTTCAAGAGAAAATTCCCAAAGTGAATATTAAAAGTTTAAAAATAAATAAATAATAAAGTGGAGGTTAAGCCTTATGTAGACTGAATACCTGTGCAGAATGAAGAGAAATTCAAAGTTTGAAGGATCTCAGTCTTGCATAGTTCAATTACTTGGGCAGTTTGAAGAGAGATTTGTATATTGAAAGCTGTGGTTGCTATAGTGTTGCTAAGCAGTGGCCAAGGTGTTTTGAGTGGTTGCTAGGACCGATAATGGGTGTTTGCTAGGGTGTTCTGTCAGCTAAGGCCAAACTGTCAGTCCAATCTACTACAAAATATATGACAACTCAAGACAGACCAGACTGAAGGACTGTGCTAAGTTAGATGGACTTAAAGGGACAGTTCACCCAAAAATGAAAATTGCGTCATTAATTACTCACCCTCATGTCGCTTATCTATGGAACACAAATGATCTGATAGATTTCTGTCCCTCCGTTGACAGCTACGCAACTACCACTTTGACGCTTCAAAATGTAAAACTAATCCATATTAATTGAGCGGTATAGTCCAAATTTTCAGAAGAGACAATCTTTTTTATGATGAACAGACTGGATTTAGGCCTTTACTCACATATAAATATCCGAAACTACCGAACCTGCTAGACGCTCGACTCGCCACGAGAACAAACCTCATTGGTTTTACGGAAGCTCAAAAGTGCTGTGTAACCTCACTGATTCTCGCACGTCAAACGAACATGCTTGAGCTTCTGTTTACCACAACTGATGTGCGAAGTGATGAATGTTTATATGTAAATAAAAGCCTAAATTAAATCTGTATATATAACCATCATATAAAGCGAATGAGTCTCTTCAAAAAAATTTGACTAAACCGCTCGATTCATATGGATTACTTTTACGATCTCTTTATGGACTTTTTGAAGGGTCAAAGTGGTAGTTGTGTAGCTGTCAATGGAGGGACAGAAATCTCTCAGATTTAAATAAAAATACCTTCATTTGTGTTCTGAAGATGAACGAAGGTCTTACGGGTTTGGAACGACATGAGGGTGAGTAAATAATGACAGAATTTTCCTTTTTGGGTGAACTAACCCTTTAAGCTCAAAGGGCATTCGTACAGTGTGTGTGACGTAAGCATAGTTTGTACATACTTTACATGTGCAGCCAGGCTTTTCTAACCACGCATACGTTTTACGCTCAGCTCACACAAGCGCCTTGATTTTTTTTTTGCACTTATTATTTGGTCCACAAGCTGGCAACACTGGCTGGGCCGTTGTTTTACAGATAAACAGTTGAGATGGAACAACAACTACTGGACAAGGCAATAACAACAGACACCCATGTTGATGAGCGTTTGGCTGAGGGGGTTAATAAGAGATACCAGGCCAGCAACTCTATTTTAAAGAAGTACAAAAACATAACTTGTGGAGAAAAATAACGCTAACACTGGGCAAAGATGAAACTTTCTTGCAAGCATATGTTGACCGCCTGTAAAAACGAGGCATAAATTGTATCAAGATATCATGGGCGATGTGTACTTGAACATGTATATTTACATACAACATAATTTGTATTTGTTTCTTCTATGTGTTTTCTCTGGCTGTGTCTGTGATGTTGAGTTATATGTGCACCTGCTGTCTCTTCTCAATCTCCAGTTTCATGCGAATGCCGAGGCATCGAAGAGTGTCCTGAAATGTCTGCCTGAGAGCTTTCTCCATCAGAATCTTATGAAAAGCCCCAACCATACTTCCACAAATAAACACCACAGAATTTGACAGCAACTAGAGAGAGAGAGAGAGAGAGGGTGACTTTGAGGTGTTACATCCTTTTCAGCTTCTTTACATACAGATTTGCTGAAGGTTTCCTTTTAACCAATCCTATTGTGGATTTCCTTTTACCTGATTGGTGATGAGGTGTTTGGGGTGGAAACTGAACACTGTGAGGTGCACCGAAAGAACAATGATGTGAGACAGAGAGGAGATGATACTCAGGGTTACAGCATAGCTCATCTGAAATGGCAGCATGGTGTAGACTGTAATGATGATGAAGAGGAAGAAGGGCACCTGGAGAAAACAAGATGAAGAGTGCAACATCAACATTTATTTAAGATTGACCAGTATTAAATTACCGATTTATATGATTTAATACATGACAGTGAACACATAAGAAAGTTATTGCTGTGAAAAGTACTCTTGTCATGTGAAGTCTCTGTAAAATATTATGTGTTACCTGGTCCCATGGTTGTATTTCCATTTTGTTTTCTGTGCTGAAAATAAAGGTGAAGCCCATTGTGAGGTGTGTGGCCCACACGGCGAGACCAAGCAAAGTTCTCCATCTTTGAGAGAGGGTGTCTGTACACACTAATATAAACACAGCCAGGAACAAACACAATGCTCCTCCCACAACTCCCACAAATACACCATGGTCCCGTGCATCCTGAAACACATACACATATGGAGAGAGCAAGGTGTTAAGGGTAAACACACATATCACATAAGACAGCTCATTCAAAAGGGTTAGGGAAAAGTAGTGTGTTTGTTGGAGTGGGTGTATGAGCTGCAGTGCATAAGCTTCCAAAAAAAAAAAAAATCTGTTCAAAAGAAATTGTTAATCCTCTCTCTAGAAAAAAAGTAAAACTTGCAGTTTTTCTTAGAAACATTAGTTTTGCACATTAGTTGTCATGGAGTCATTAAGGGACTATTGCTTCCCACTCTATTCCTTCTTTCTTATCCCCTAAAGGCAGAAAAACACAAACATAAATACACAGGAGCCAAAAATCCTTAAAAAGCTCCAGAGATCACTTAAATCCATCTGTCACAGAGCTAACACCAGTTTAAAACCAGACACCATCTGAGTGAGCAATAATAGCTGAAACACAATTATGACGAAAAATAAAAGTTAATTCCAGTCCTCAAATTTGATGTTTGCATATTCCAGACAGGCTGTGCATTTGTGGTGGGGATGTTTTAGTTACTCTTTCGGCAGATTACATGATTACGTCAGTAGATACCGGCAAGTGACTGTCTTAAAGGGTTGGTTCACCCAAAAATGAAAATTATGTCATTAATGACTTGTTATTTTTGGACCAAAATGTATTTTCGATGCTTCAAAACATTCTAACTAACCCACTGATGTCACATGGACTACTTTGATGATGTCTTTATTTCCTTTCTGGACAAGGACAGTATACCGTACATACATTTTCAATGGAGGGGCAGAAAGCTCTCGGACTAAATCTAAAATATCTTAAACTGTGTTCCGAAGATGAACGGAGGTCTTACGGGCTTGGAACGAGTCATTAATGACATAATTTTCATTTTTGGGTAAACCAACCCTTTAATCATTTGAATCCTGCAATCAACCAATTCATTCAAACACATGAATGAAACAAGTGACTTATGACTGAGGCATTTAATCATTCACTTAGCAAACAAAGCCCTGTTTACACGAGTGTGTTTTCGTTTTAAAATGCATAACTTTTGCTACGGTTGCCTGAGATACGGTTTTGTGTGGATATATATGAAGACTTCAGATGCAAAAGCCTCTAAGTCCATCTAAAGTTTTTGTTTAATATTAACATTTTTATCAGGCTCCTATGTATAGGTACCCAAGTACCGGCATTTCTGAATGGGCTGAGGCTGGGATTTAGTGAGTTTGAAATTAAAGTATTTGATGAGCGTATACTATGTGCGGAGAGCATTCACTCAATATTATTATCTAATTTTTGACAGAGGAAATGTTTTTTAGCACAAAATCAGCAGATTAGACTGATTTCTGAAGGATCATGTCACACAGCACAGCAGTAATGACACGAGAGTAATTGATTAAATAAATGCAGCCCTTGTGAGAATTTTTTAAAACTCTTATAAACTCCAAACTTCAAACAGTAATATAATTAAAAAACACATACATTACATATATAGAGTTGGATTATTAAAATGATTAAATGACACTATCAGACTACAAGTCACTACCTGTGTGGGCAAATCACAGCACTAGATCGACCCAGCCACTTCTCCGCCCACCAATATACACACTCACTGCATTGAGTCCTCCACTCATGTTCACCCATTTGATTTAACCACTCTGTATTACCACTGAGATACTTAACTTTCAAACAGAGCAGAAATACATACCTCAGTCCACAAGCATTCAGAAACTTACACACCCACACATACTGCCATCATCCTATGGGCTTTGTGAAGGTTTAAATAAATAGTAAAACAAAATACACACACATGCCCACACACAGAGAGCAACACTGGTTGTAATTCTGTTCCTCCCACGGCCGGTTGGTGTAGAGAGAGGAGGTTACAGAAGTTCGCACAGATGGTATAGTGCTTATCTGCTAAAGAGATGAACAACAGCAGTGCAAAAGGAGCGTTCACGGCCCCTCTTCACATCCAGCTGACTCCAGAGAAAGTATATGTGATAATGTGCCAAAGGAACCAGAGAGAGAGAGACTATCATACAATGTGCTACATATTCCCCAAATAAAAGCAATTCTAAAGGACTTGGCATAAACTGGCAATTATTACAATTAAAACACTCAATTTCCTGTCACGGATAATGCCAGTTCACATCTCCATTCTGATAATCAGGCCTCAAATTACGCAACTACTGAGAATCAGCACCTCAGTCGCCGCAGGATTATGTAAGCGAGGCTGCTTCAATCATCAGATACCGTCTGAACAACAAGGACAAACCTGATCCATGTTGAATACTGACTTAGCTGTGTACTTCCTAATTTTAAGCGAGTGGGCATTTGACTTTAGAGAAGGGTTCGAGGGCTACCATCCAGCAGTTTAGCTCCAACCCTAATCAAACACGCCTGATCCAGCTAATCAAGGTGTCCATGGTATAACAAGGTAAGTGTGTTGGAGCAGGGTTGGAACTTAAGTCTGCAGGAAGATAGCCCTCCAGGAGCAGGGTTGGCTACCCCTACTTAAGAGAGTGGAAGGATGTATACCAGGGGTTGGCAAGTTCGGTCCTAGAGAGCCACTGTCCTGCAGAGTTTATAGCACATAACTCTGCATGAATATCTATTGGTGTATACTGTACACCCCTGGTGTATACTGTATGAGTGCATTTGCATGAATGTGGCATCTCACCAGTTTCAGGCTGAAGAAGAGCACTAGCAGTGTGGCACAAGTTAAGCAATAACCCTATTCAAACACACCTGAACAAGCTAATCAATGTCTTCAGGATTACTAAGGCCTTGTCCACATCTTTTTCTCTCCGGTTTGGCCTTCTGTCCACACTGAGATGGCGTTTTTTTATAATGAAAATGAAGCTTTTTGAAAACGCTCTCCAAAGTGTATAAATTAGTGTGGACTGTCAAAACTGAGGTATTTAAAAACGATGACGTAAGTTTAGTCATGTAACGCATATTGTACCAATAGATATTCATGTTTATACTGGTATTGTGCTTGTTATGTGCTATTCACTTTCACACTGTTGCTAAAATATTTTACTTTGCACACTCTTCATATCACAGTCCAGCAAAGATGACCGAAAATTTACTCAAATTTGCTGTCCTGCGGCAATGCATGAGAGAAGTTACGTTTTAGACCAAACATATGGTGACTGATTGCGACCTGGATGCATCAGTGAATGGTGAGATATTTTGGTAAATAAAGTTATCCTGTTAGAAGAATTGTGCGTTAACTTTATTATTTATTTTTCTGTCTGTATCATCGCAGTGAGCTTTTGTGAGGTTTTAAGTGTTTTCAGGCGTTTTCCAAAAGTTTCTCATCCACACTGAAACATCTGAAAACGCCTGAAAACGCTAGTGTGGGCAGAGAGTGTTTTTAAATGAAAACGCCGTTTTCAAATGTATCCAGATTAATGTAGACATAGCCTACGGATATAGGCAGGTGAGGGTTTTTTCAGAATTGCAGCCAAACTCTGCAGGACAATGGTTCTCTAGGACCAAACTTGCCTACCCCTGGTGTATACTGTATGAGTGCATTTGCATGAATGTGGCATCTCACCAGTTTCAGGCTGAAGAAGAGCACTAGCAGTGTGGCACAAGTGAGCATGCTCAGTCCCAGCAACAGAACGAATGGCTGGTATTGGCTAATGCCAGAAAATTTCCTGTACAGTGCTTCCTGTTTCAACTTCTGCTCATTCAGCAAGTACTTCCCTTTTGCTGGCATACTGACCAACGGCAGTGCAGAGGCTGAATAATACTGGCCTATCAGAGCAGAGCGATGAGATGCCACAGAAATACACCTCCTCCCATCCAGCAGAGTGCGGCTATGCTGAAATTCCCATAGAAACCACGTGAGAGTGTGTGGGAGGTCATTCCAGTGCAGAACACTTCAGCTCGACCCTCCACAGCACCATTCTGTGCATGTCCTTTATGATCCTTCTTTTTGTACTTTTCCCGTCACTCTGGTGCCTCCTGGTCCTGTTGGAGAGGGCTTCAGGGTGCCACTGTGTGTGTAAGTTGGATGAAAGGCGATGCAATGCAATTACGGATTCTTCCAGAGTCCATAAATTCCTGTCACACACAGAAAATAGAGAGAGTAATTTGTTAGATATACTACAATGTTTACACTAATATGACACCTACTATAGTCATTCTGACTAACTTGAAAGCAAATAAACATTGAAATTAAGGAGCTTTTCATTTGGAAACTAACTTGGTTTTGTTTCAAAAGCTGCCGAATCATGCATCAAGTTTAAAGAGCACACTTTCAGGTCAACTCCTTAGATCTCTGTAAACACTGCTCTGTTCAGTCATTCTGTGCCTGTGAAAAGGCTTTTGGGTAGAGTTCAACATTTGTGTGGATTCAGTTCTCTCTTCATTACTGAGCCTAATGCAGATGGCCGCTGTCCATGGCATCCTCGGCCAAACCTCAGCTACACCTAGACTGAGACGAGCCGAGCTTTACAAAGAAAAACACCGGACACAGATTATGTGAACTCTGTCCTCAGTCAGTGTAGGCAGTTGTTTAATGCTTGTAAGTGGTACACTATTTTATGCTGACAATAAAGAAATTATATCTTAACATTAAAATAGACACTTCATATTTCTGAAAGCGGAAAGCAACAAGATTCTGTCAGCAGCACAGCACAACAGTTAGGTAAAATACATACTGTACAAACTGCACTGTACATAAACTGCATTTGTTTTAAAGTAATTAATACTTTTATTTAGCAAGTGTGAATTAAATTAATAAAAAGTGACAGTAAAGAAATGTGTAATGTTACAAAAGATTTCCATTTCAAATAATTGCTATTTTTTGTTAACTTTATATTAATAAAAGAATCCTAACAAAAAATCATTCCAGTTTCCATAAAAATATAGCGACTGTTTTCAACAAAAAATAAGAAATAATAAGAAAGAAATGTACCTTGAGCAGAAAATTAACATATTAGACTGATTTCTGAAGGATCATGTGACACTGAAGACTGGAGTAATGATGCTGAAAATTCAGCTTTCATCACAGGAATAGATTACATTTTAAAATATATATAAATATAAAACAGTTATATTAAATTGTATTTATATTTCACAATATTACAGTTTATACTGCAATTATTATCAAATAAGCCTTGGTGAGCATAAGAGGCTAGTGAAAAACAGATACACTAGTTGACCTCCTTTATCGACTATTTGGTTGTTGGACATATAGTTGATCAGTTCATCGTCGTGATCATCATGACCCAGCCCTGATCTGAATGTGCCGGAAAACAATCTGCATCACTACATCCTCATTCAGGTGGAGGAAACAGTCCGGAGAGGAAGAAGAGCAGAAGAGTCTTTGTAAATAAACTGCATCCAAAGGTTGCTCATTGCAGGTTATTATTGTTTGAGGAGGGCCACCAAACGATCATGGAAGCGTAAGCAACAGCTTCACATCTGAATGCACACACACCATGAAACACACTAAGCCATCAAGAGTGTTTCAAATGATGCTAAACCCGGCTGTGCTGACGTATTGCTGACAACATCGATCACTGATAATAGCACTGAAAAATAAATAAATTCTCATTTCCTGTAAATTCATTGGATTACCAAAGAAGTATTAGAAATATCCTCTAACACTATTAAAAAAGCTGAAAGTCAAAGAACAGAAGCACAGAAAACAGCAGAGAGAGAGAGAGAGAGAGAGAGAGAGAGAGAGAGAGAGAGAGAGAGAGAGAGAGAGAGAGAGAGAGAGAGAGAGAGAGAGAGAGAGAGAGAGAGAGAGAGAGAGAGAGAGAGAGAGAGAGAGAGAGAGAGAGAGAGAGAAGGAGAGCTGGGATGCTCCACGATTTTCTCTTTGTTGAGGGTCATTAAAGACCTGAATGACATGACCGTGTCACTCTCTCACTCTCCCAGACAAATGCACCCAAGCCAACAAGTGGCCTTTATATTCCCAAACTAAAGTTACCATGGCAAAGGAACAATCCAACTGGGCAATAACCGAAAGAAAGACAGGGAGAGGGTGGGAGAGACAGAAGGAATGAGAGTGAATAGTCTCTCCATGCGGAAACAGGGAGGGTCAAATCCTCCTGGCTGCTGCTGTAGATCCTGCAGAGCACAGTGAAGAGTGGTGAAGCTCTGAACCTACACAATGATCTGATGCTTAACATGACGCAAGCACAGCACAGGGTTCCTACAGATACTGTCAAATTAAACTGTCAGATACTTTTCAAGCACTACTTGTTTGGTTCAAGGACTACAATCAGAGATCGCACTTATCAAATATCTTTATCTTACAAATTTAAATAAAATAAAAAAGTAAATAGATGAATAAGGGTATACTAATAAAACACAATGGTACAAAAAAAGTGCAGCACATGCAAAGTATGCAATGACTGTGGGAAAAATAACAAAGCCTTGAACTTTCATTGCATAGAAGAGCAAATAGAACATTGTATGATGATTCTTATTAAAAGATGAAATAACAGAAGAAATCTAATTATTTCATTGTAAATAATTACAAAGTAATTACATTGCAATCTAATCTAACTGCAATCCAATCTTTTAAGGAATAGTTTGTTGTTGTTGTTGTTTTACTCAAATTACAGATATAAGGTATACAAAATACAACAGCTTACGACCATTCTTGAAAAAAACGCTGATTCATTCTGGAACAAAGCAAAGTTGTAAAAACAGTACATTATTTGAACACCTTATAAGGCGCAACCGACAAGCAAAGCGGCCCCTGGTTAAAGCTGAATCTGACGTGTGACATCATAGAGATCAATCCATTGTCCAGCGCTAAATCACCTTAACCATTGAAAGGATATACTGACAGAGATATTTCCTCATTCAAACTGACCCCTTATGAATTTATGATTGACCTGAAGAATGAAAGCTGTATTATATACTTGGAAATATATGAGTAATATCACGGCTATGCGCTATGGCTATGCGCAATTTACAAATGGTAATGGTAAATCGGAAAAATTAAACACCGATTTCATATATATTGTCTTTCAATAATTCAAGCACTTTCCATAAATGTGGCTGTTTTCAAGGGTTTTCCATGACTCAAATTCAAGTACTTCATAGATTAGCCTACACACTTTGTATGAACCCTGACAACACTATAATCAGCCCATCTCCTCGGGGTCTGGGCTCAAACTTTATGTAGCTAGCTGCATATGAACAGCACAGCAGCCTGCAGCACAGATCAGTGACACAGTAAGATTTCACGACACTAATGCATGCTACTCAACACTATTAACAATACAGGAATTCATCACAATGGTGTTTCATGTATTCAGAGTTGTTTACAGTCTTAAAGTGATGGATTCTCATGCTAAACATGGCCAAAGTTTAAAAAAATATATATTTTGGACGAATAACGGAGAATTTCTGTGCCGAAAATCTTACTTCCGGGTTGGTACAAGTTTCGGCTGTTTTTTTTCGATCGCGGATCTAATGACGTAGACGAGGGTGGAGACGTGGGATCTGATTGTTAGCCATGGTTTGTTTTGGGATGTCACAGCTTCCAGACGCTATCAACGCAAAAGCTTCGCGCACTCGTGATTATTTAGCTCCGCCCACACGGCACGCCTCCAACCGCTCGTTTTTTTTCCGGAAAGACTCGGTACAGCCTATCTTTCTTTTATAAATATAATAAAACTAAAGACTTTTTGGAGATATAAAGGATGCAATACTACTCTATAGGTACTCAAGATTAACATGAGAATGACTGAAACTGAGTGTTTCACACCCCCCCCCCTTTAATCAAGAAAGCAATTTCATTCACCTCACCTAAACATGATTTGGTTGATAATATACTTTTTGTCCACAATGTCCATTTTGTCATACAAAGATTACATGTGGGAAAAATATTTACCAACTCTTATATTGTTAATAGACAGATGCATATTGCATTATTAGAGAATACTGAGATTTCAATCACTTCTCATACTATCCAATCAAATATCATTGCAATGCTGAATTCTCTCACCCGTCACTCACTCCCATGTCTTTCCAAACCTGTATGGCAAAACATATTTTGAATAATGTAAACAGATACTGTTTTGCAGGTGGACTGGAGATCGTGACACTCTCACACTCATCTTTCATTTGCGCTTCTGTGGAAAAACATGTGATGGAGCAAAGAGAAGAAGGGCAGGGGGAAGTGCATGTGTGTCCAAATCTGAGCAATCTAAATGGGAATTTTCAAGAGCTCCATGTGATGTGAGAGATGTGTTGTCCATGGTCAAACTTAGGACAGTGGCCTTCCAACAAATAAAAGCCCTGTTCTCTGCCTTAATCCAGCAAAACCAGTTAGAAAATGTACCATTTACACTCGTCATCCTCTATTTTTTATTTCCTTTGTTGTCCATTCCATCACCGACTGTAGGGCTGCACCATCCACTGATTTTTATTTTATAAAAAATTTATTTTACGCCTGTACCAAACTGTAATGGGCAACGTAGCTCCTATGACGAGAAAAACAGGTATGATTCAGCATTCTGATGACATCATGTCCGGTTTTTGGTTTGTTTAGATGTCTTTGGTCCGTGTGGTGTTCATAATTCAAGCGGACCGAGATCCATCTTTTGGCAGCATTCACACTTAAAACGAACCGCACTAACAGAGTAATCGCACCAGAGTTTGTTTTACTTGAGCCAGACCTGCCAAGTGTGAACACACCCTTAGTAAAAGATATGCTGTTCACTTCACTTTTTTCTTTACCCGGATAGAGCAGAAGACATGCATATTGGATGTCAAATTCACTTGAAATTGGCAAATTCACTTGAAAATAACTGAAATTGAAATAATACATAAATATTAGGTTTATCACATCCCATATTGTCATTATTAGGCTATAGTAATTATTATTTAAAATAAATGTTTTCTATTCTACAAAAAAAAAATCTGTTTTCCATTTCTATTTCAAATGTAATTTATTGCTGTGCTGCCAAAGATAAATTTTGTACATACACACATGTATGTATGTACCGGTATATAAACAGAAGTGTAAGCATTGAGCACTGAGTAGATCACAGCACAAAACCATCTGGACAGGCTAGTTTTGTTGTGAGGAA